ATGATTCCTGCAAATTTGGCATCAAACTTGCCATTGACACAAAAACATGGAACAGCGCACAGAAAATGATTTCCACTAGGAGCAGGAGAGTCGAAATTCCACAAGTAACTCTTTATCATTCCTTCTTGTACACAGTGAAATCACGGAACAATTCAAAGCCTTCTCCAACTGCAGAAGTTGGAAAACCTGATTTACCTATTATGATCAAGGAAGTAGGTGTATCGATAATGAATAAGGGAAACGTGTGTAAGGAGACCAATGCACCACCCTCTGAGGAAACAGATGTTTCCGCGGATCATACTAGTAGTGACGTAAAGCAAACCCAATCAGAGTCATCTTGTATCCCAGTGCAGGAGAGTATAAACGCTCAAACAAACAGCAAGATAATGGAAGTAAAAAGTTCTGGTTCTGAAACTAGGGAAGCGATAGTTAGGAGGAAAGAAGTTAAAGATGTTGAGTCAAACGATGCAAAAATCGAACGTGAGAAATTTGTAGCTAGTGTGCAAATTTTCAGGGAAAGTATAGGAGAGAGTTTAAGAAGAAGGCTGTAGATGGAAGCAAGATAGATGGTTCAAGATCAGAATCTGAGAAAGGCGTTTTGAAGAAATTTTCCAGTAGTTTGTATGATGTCGTTGAAGAGACTGCAAGCAAGCTTGCTGGGGTCAGGAAGAGCAAGGTCAAGGCTTTGTTCCCGCATTTGAAACTGTTATATCTCTTGATCTGCAGGAGGCCACTCCCATGGAAGTAAGCTCTTGTCGATTCACCTTTTAAAGATGTTTATGTATAGGAAAAGAACTTACATAGTAGAAGAAGAACAAGATCTAGTTCTAGCTCTGAATGTGACTTGAGCAGTAAGCTTTCTGAAATTGCAACTGCTAGTGGGTGGATAGTGGATTATTAAGCTTAGTTAGTTAGCTTATTGACACCGGTTTAGTATTTTCCCCTAAACCATTAAGTTAGTAATATATATAAAAGGAGTCAATTTTGGCATATTAATGGAATAATCTTCGAGTTTTCCCCCCTTCTTAAGTACAAAGGAAGCCAAAGCCTTGGAAATTGAAATAAAAAGAAAGTGATTAACCTCTAGGGATTAAGACGTTCCTAGTCAAGTCAAGCCATATAAGGTCTTTGCACTGATGAGGAAGCTCTGTTGTAGTCATTTCCTCATAAATCATATTATGAGTTGGGTTTCTAGCATATTAAATTTCGTCAGTTGATAAACATGCAATCTCTGCCATTTTCCTTGAACACTGGTGAAATGCTGAACTCATTTTCATCTGATGTGAAACTAGTTAGAATGGTTTAGTTTATTCTCCGAATACCATGTGCTAGCTTTAACAAAAAATTGACTGAAAGGCACTCATAAAAAAAAACCTGAAACTCATCACCCGTTTCAACGTTATTGGCTTTCTCATAATTATTTCCTTAACTTAAAGAAGCTCTTAATTGTGACTGATCATACGTTGCGTGATTAATATATCTTTATTTTTTCTGCAGAGACGGTGAACTTTTGCGTCAACAAGTTATGAATACTCTCTTTCATAACATCCCATATTAAACTTGACTTGAAGCACATTTGAATTTCAATTAGATATAATTGATTATGAAAATAATTAATTAAATAATTAATTTTAATTATAATTGATTATGTTATAAAACAATCTTTTTGAATACTATTTTTCAAAAATTGATTTTAACAGAAGTAAAGATGTATGAATAATTTATTCAGAAATAATTTTAATAGTATAAATTATCATAAAAGATATTATTTTTTAAGATTAAATTATTAATAAATTTTAATATAATATTATTAAATTTTTTAAATTTTATTTAAAAAGTAAAATATATTATTTAAATTATATATATGATTAATTATAAAAATTTAAATTATATTAATATTAAAAATTTTAATTTATGTAAATAAATAACTCAATATATCTTAGTTCAAATAAATTTAATAAAAGAGAAGTATTTAATTCTTAAATACCAAACATCAATTTTACAATAATTAATAAAGATGATAATATACAAGTTAATATTTAATCATGAGTCATATCTGACGAAAATGTTAAGCATTGTCTAAAAATTTTGGCAACATAAAAAATATAGTAATGTAACAAATGATGCAAATCTCTCTCTTTAGATTTTTGCAACAATCTTTGTAATAATCCTCAATTTTAAATTAAATTAAATTAATTTTTTTATTAATTAATATTTAATTTAAATTAGTTTTATAATAAGTACTAAGTAGAGGGTGTGGGTTGACAAAAGTTTATGTTAGTAAATTTTTTAAAGATTCAAAATTTAAATTTTACTAAAAAAAAGAAGAGAAGGAAGTTTGGTTTTATTTTTATTAAATTTTGTGTCTTTCTTATAATTTTTTTGAACATTTTTTATAATTTTCCCACATGCCTTTCTTGCACTTCAAATGAAGAAGCTCACGTTCGTAGCTTATGAAAAAAAAAAATCAATTTCATCCAAAAAATTTGATTACCCACTTTTTTCAGGTGTTTGGTTAATAACTCAAAAAATTGCTTAATTGCGTATCCAAACACACACTTTAGTTCTGGTGGAGACCAAAGTCTTGGTTTTGACTTTTGAATTTTTTGATAAACCCATCTATATTATGAAGTAGTATTAAAAATTTATTGAGAGAGTTTTTCCACTCTGGAGACCTAAATGAGTCTAAGTGTGACTTCCACACGAGGTGATTTGTGTTTATTTTATTTTTAAAAATCTTATAGTTATGAAATCCACTCAAACAACGCCCAATTTTATAAAGTTTCTGCCGTAGATTAAAAAGTATAAATAACGTGATAAAATGTTGACTATATTGTCAAATTTTTTTCCTAAAATTTATTAAAAGCTCTTTAAAATTGATGGAGCAAAGGAGGGTATATTATGAAAGGAATGCTAATAAATACTGCTTTAAACTTCTAAAAAGGACATATAAAATAAAGCAATTTTTTCCCTCAAAAGACATGCACTCCCTCTAGTCTGTGTGATAGAGCGTTTTTTAAAAGAAATTTTTTATTTTTAATATAAGCCACTCATCATTGCTCCTATTCAAACTCATTAATTATATGACAAAGAATATAATGCAAATTTAAAAAAGTTTCATTTTAATGGAAATAAAAGTGAATGTTTACTTTATTTCTAGACAGTTAATGGTTTAACCACGGTTCTAGCGGAGCAATTAGAGGTGGTTTATAATAGAAATAAAAGGGAATGTGTGTGTGTATTACCATGAAATTATATTTACTAACACTAATCTTACCATGAAAGTGTCTAGCATACATACTATAAATAGCATAAGGGTGAGGGGCAACAATAAAGAATGTTTTGTGATACATCGGTATACGTCAAACTAAGTACTAATTAATAAAAATTAACAAGCAAGAGAATCTGATGGAAATTGATGATACGCCACTTAATGATTTGTGAGTCATTCTCATATTGAAGTGGCATTCTCCAATAATATCCAGCTTATGACGGCAAAGTGACGACCAACCATGCAAATGGCATTCGATTTTGGCCTCCCAGATTTGGTCGCAATCGGTTCAGATCCAACAAATCGTTCTCATCCTCCTTGTATTTTTAAAATCGAGGGTATGTATACGTTGGTGCCCACGTGTGATCTCCATTGGATGATACTACTTATGGTCCCATTTTGATCTGAACTTGTGGTTCACCTTGAGATCCCGGATTCGTTACGATCTCTGGTCAACTTTGTCATTAATACTGTGATAGGACAACAATACAATTGCTCTACGTATCCTCTTGTTTTTGTGTTTTTCCTTGCAGCATGAATCAAATGGATTGGTGTTTTATGTATAATACAACCTTCAAATACATGTGAACATGTCAAATGTGGACATTACTCAAAAATTTTATCAAGATACTTGTTTGTTTATCAGTTCAAGGCAACGATATGGAACTATATACATTAAGATGTTCAAATATGAGTTAATTTGAGTTGAAATAGGAAGTCTTACATGAGATGGAAATAATATATAATAAAATGTTAGGAATTATAAATTTAAATTTTAAAATTTTGAGTTAAGATATAATTTCATTCCGCTCTCTTTTCCTTTTTTATAGAGTACGATTACATATATTTAAAAGAGATTGTGACATAAGAGAAGGGAGAATTTCAACAAAGACTCATGGATTAAATTTATTTAAATTCAAAAGCCTTGAATTTATGAAATTTTACTCTAATTTGATATAAATTTCTGAAGAAAATAACAAAAATGTCCTTTATTTAAATTAATATCAAAACTATCTTACTTTCCTTGTTCATTACCTGCTTTATTTGTTCATTTACTCATAAAATGTTGTTCATTACCTTATTTCACTTGTTCATATTCTTGAAATGAAATCAAGTGAAAGTATGATAATAAACAAGTAAAGTAAGATAATGAATAACAGTTCGTAAATAAATAAATAACATACATTATAGGAACTAATAAGTTATCTTAAGATAATTTAAACACTTAAAATAAAAACAAATTAAGTAGGGCAATGAACAACATTCCGTAAGTGAATTAATAAGTGAAGTATGAAAGTTTTGATATTAATTTAAATGAAAGACAATTTTATCATTTCTCTCAAAATTTTAATATCAAATTAGTATCCTTAAATTGTAGTGAAATTTCAGAAATTTAGGGTTTTGAATTTAAATAAATATGATAGAAGAGTCTTTATTAAAATTCTCTCATAAAAAAAATAAAGGTGTAATGCATATTTTTCCTTCTTTCACTCACTTTTAATTTCTTCTATCTATCTCTAAATGCACACCTTGTATTTGCCTTTTTAAAAAAAAAAATTCAAGATAATATCGTCTTGCAAAATGTTGAGAACTTAGATCTGTCCTTGCATGGTCTCCACAAATTCTGAACCCCTTAGGCTCATAAAAATTCATATTTGCATATTTGAACTCATTAGCCTTAATGTTCTGGTTTTGCCACTGTCTTGGTCCGGGGTCTATAGTTAAATAATTAGCAGAAAAAGACTTGTTATGTAAATAGAACTGATTTATACATAGAATCGACAGTCTGATACATCAACATGAGAATATATATAGCTGCATTTTAAACTTGTTTGTTGGGTGTATATACAATTATTTGTTTCCCTCATCATTGATCGGTGTGTTTCCATTTCTGATATCTTTCTCAATTCCTTTGTCCATGATGTTGTTGGGGCATGCTGCCCGTGCTCTGATTGTTCCGTCTCATCTCTTGCCGGTAAAGCGCCGCCATGCTGTTCAGAATATCCACATTCACTGACTGCACCAATATATTGCTCTTTAGTATATCATCACATAAGCAACCAAATCCAAATCCTCAAAACTATTCTTCAATTAGGGAAAGAGAGGGTAGGACTCGCCTATGTTAAATCTTACAAACCTGAGTCCCATGTTCTTTTTTTAGAGCGATTTCACCTTGAAATATTAAAACAACTATTGTTTTGTTGAAAGTAAGTGGCTATCTACTTTCACCAAAACCATGATTTTAATGGTTTCAACGTAAGACTAAACATACACTTGGTTCAAAACTTAGCTCATTGACAAACATGCTTAACATTATTGATATTACACAGCAGCCTAAATTGTAAGAAATTGAAGGTTCAAATTATTAACTAACTCGCTGAAAAATGCAGAAAAGGAGGTGTTTGTCATGTTAACATACTTGTGAAAGGAAAGTGGTATAAGGATCAGGCAAAGAAACTGAAGGATTGGTGATGGCTGCAGATGCAGGTGCAGGCTTTGGAGGATGAGCATGAGCTTGAATCAATGCAGGCATCATGAAGGAGCGGCAATAGCTGGAGCTGCAACTGTGAGTTGTGGAAGAGAAGAAAGAACTGGTGGTCGTGCAGCCATGGCGGTGTTGGTGTTAAGCAGGCCCAAGCCTGGGCCGGAGCTCGGGCCTGAGCCCAGCCCAAGACCCATTCCGGCCAGCATAGACATTTGAACCTGTTGCTGCATCATCTGCATCATCATCTGCTGGGGCATGTTTCTCATACTCATCATCTGTATCTGTGCTTGGAGCTGTTTTAGATATTCAATCACTTCGTCTAATATTGAGGCTTTGTCATTCTGCAGTTTTTGTCACTTCCACCATTAAAGCTTGCAGGCAGCTTCTTCAAAATAAACTAAATCATTCGCTTTGATTTTTCTCACCTTACTGGCGTTGGGCACCAACCTCTGCAAAGCTTTCATTTTCTGATTAATTTTATCCTTCGTCTCTGAGTAAAACAAGAAAAGAAAAGGGGCGATTTTCTTATGTATTATCAGTAAATTATTTTAACGAAAACGAAACAACTTCATCTCATAATTTTTTTTTTTCCTTTTCCTGTGTTAGATTTAAAGTGATGCAGGAAGCTTCATCTACTACCCGCTCACTCTGGTTATGAGCAGCCGCTGCTCGGTTCCTTCTTGTTGGGTTGGAACGGCCTGTTTCTTCTTTGGTATCTCTGTCTTCGTCTTGCTCTTGGTTTTCCTGTAGATTCGAACATACAACGTTCACTAAAGGAACTAAATTTGTGCTTCATTTTATTGCTAACATGGTTAATGTTTATAGTAACACAGATGCGTCAAGAAAAGCATCTACCCAGGAAAACAAAATCAATGCGTAGCATGCAACGTTTCACCGGCTTTGAAGCACAGACTGACTTGAAATGCGATCAGGACATTGTTTTAGCTGAGTAGGTTAGCATAATTCAAATGAAAAGGGACATTGGCAACGTAAAAATCTAAGTTACCGATTCACAGTGAGAATGCGAATCATCCTCAAGAGTTTTACTTCTCTTCAAGCTTCTAAAGGCGCTGACACTAGCGCAACCTCCACTGCTGGGTTCACATTCTTCTAAGCCATTGGTGTCAAGGTAGCCGGAATCCGACTGAACCTGCTTCCTCTTCAATGTCGGCTCTGATTGTGCTCGGCCGGATACATCAGGAGGCATGGTTGTCCCGCCAGAGGGTGCAACGGTAGAGCTTATACTGGTTGGAGTCCAATCCTGTGGCATACTAAGGAAATTTGATTTTGGACGTTGGCATGCAGCTTGTTGAACAATAGACTCCAGCGTATCATGGGCCCTGATCCATGTGGACTTTTGGTGGGCCGTTGCTAGGAGCCCACCAAGCCCATGCATGACTGGCTGACCATTTTCCCAGGTTAGCTCTGCAACCTCATGATTAGACCTGAATCTCCCTCAAGTACAATGTGAGAAAAAAGGCAGCACAAGGACGGTCACATAAATACACTCATACCATGTTTAAAACTGCAGAAACTAATAAATGCATGCATTTAAGTTCAAACATGATTCACAAGAAAGAAAGAGGGGATCGGACATGGTTTCTTAAGAAAACGTAGCTAAAAACTTATGCAAACCGATTAACAAGCTCAAAAGAGAAGATTCAAACTTTCAGGCTCCACAAATCCCTGATGGGCTCTGTGAAGTTATAACCAAAATGAAACCTGGACATATTTGTGGGCAAGCAAAACTAGGCCAGTTATGGGCAGAAGCAGCCGCAGAAACAGTATGAATCAAAAACAAGAACAATATTGCTAAAAATGACAGTATCAAAGAGGAACTGGGGGAAACTGACAAGATCATCAGAAGCACTTTTTTGAAATATATGAAACAGAAAGAAAAGGAAAATAAAGAGAGAGGAGAGAGAGGGAAGAGCTTACATGGGGACGTAAGAGGAGGAATCAAGTGGTGCGTGTTGAGGTGGGAGGCGGGAGTTTGGAAGCAAAGGCTCAGTCACGATGATGATGAAGATGAAGATGACGAAGACGACTCCTCTGGGAATGATGAGATAGGCAAGGCTTGGGAGTGCCCTTTTATTCCTTAAAACCAATGAATCAATGAATGGGTCCCGGGTGATCCACTTCGGTTCGGATCTTCTCTACTTATCATGTGTTTCTAAAAGTGAATGTACAGAATGCAGTTCACGAAGAGAAAAAGAATTGGTCAGGATACTTGTTAAATATATATAAGCCTCGTATTTATACAACTCTACATTTTTTTACTATTATTTTTTTCCAGATACATCAATGCATGTATGCAAACCACCTTCATATCAGCAGTACTTTATAAAAGCATAACTCTCTCGACTCATTTAAACCTTTTGCCTTGTATTTGGATGAAGAAAAAAATATGGAAAATAAAAAAAGTTAAAAGAAAGATATATTTTCCCATATTTGGAAAAGAAGAACAAAAAAAAAAAAGCATGAGATAAATATGTTTTCTCTTTAAAAGTAGAGAGATTGTGGGGTGAAAACCTGATTTCTAAAATTATCCTAAAAGTTGGGACAATCAGACATGAACCCATATCTTTTTTATATGGATTTTATCATCATTATGAAATTAATTAGTCATTTTTTCTATTCATCCAAATATAAAAAAAAAAACATTTTGTTTCCTTCCATTTTCTATTCTAATATCCAAACAAAGCTTTGTGTGTGGAAAAAAAATGAAAGGCAATTCAAATCATGAGCTTTCATTTGAGTGGAAAGAGATTTTAGAAAGAACATGTGGTGAGTATATGACCTTGAGAGATTAATGAATGAATGGGATATGCTTTGCCTCCTTCCATACACATATTGGCCCCCCATCATTTAATATGCAGCTCCACCTACCTCTTTTGGGGCTAACCACCAATTATTGCTCTCACCCTCCTCTGTTCTAAATTAGTCGACCTCCAAGTTAATGTTATGCGAACATCACAATACATCTTCTTTTGCTCAAGTTTTATCAAATCATCCATCTTTGCGGGCTTAATAACATCATGTTGTTCCTATTATCATCATCACTATTAGCTTTACTGATTACAGATGGGTATGGCACATATAGTAGTGGTCTAAGTTCTTTAAGTATCATTTCAATATTTAATTTCTAAATATGTATATGGAAAAACATTATTTGAGAAAAGCCAACCCTTTAAATAACATTTAAATTCCTTAAAAGATTTCATGGCTGTCGATTATAGGGATATCTTTGGTTTAAAAAAAAAAACTCTACTGATTTATTTATATATATATATATATATATTGTTTTTTTGTACCACTTTAGAACTTGAATCTTCGCAATTAATCATCTTAAGATTTAATGAGCACTGCATCAAATTAGCTCCCATGAAAATGACACTCAACCCCCTTTCTGGGGAAATTTCTACTTTGAATATGAGTTGATAGTCACAGATAAATACATAATAATTAATTTTTGATTAGGGAGCCAAATATTGGATCCTTTTACAAAATTGAGCGGCAAGTTACCTATTTTTATGTAGACCAGATAAGGAAAAGGAGATTCAATGAAATCACTTTTGACATGGTGCATTTTTGTTACTGGATTAGAGTATTTATTCTAAATCTGTCTCATAAACTTTCAACATAATTCGACTCCACATCAATTTAGAAGTTATTTTATTGATTTTTATTAATTAAATCTATGTAAAAGCTTCCAAAATTATCGTCATTTCAAGGGCATGAAATTGTAAATATACAACAAATGGATTTTCTTGCAAGTGGACCATACATTGACAATTTCCCTAAACCAGAAAGACGCGTGGAGACTGGAGACAATTCAGCAAAAACATGGTCCCATACAAAAGCAAGGACTCTCAAAGGTCACAACCGATAATTTTTTTTTTTTTTAACAAATTCGTGTCTAGAGATATTCACATTAATATTGTGTCACAGGACATTCTTAACGTACACAAGCAATAACTACAAGACAATTCTTTCCACTCAGTGATATTCTAAAAATAGCTTGTGGTGTTAAACAGGTAGAGAAAACTTGGTATATTTTCTTACTTTTGCCTAGGTGAGCAAAACTGAATTGAAATTGAAAATCGAACCGAATCGAATTGAATTTTATCTATTTAATTCGGTCTATTTGATTTTTCAGTTCGATTCGATTTTTTTATTTTAAATATTTTAGTTGATCAGTTCAATTCGGCTAGTAAAATTTAAAATCAAATAGACCGAACTGACCGAATTACATATAATTTATTAATTTATAAATTATATTTAATTTATAAATTATTTTATTTTATTTTTTATTTTATTAAATAATAAAAAATAATAACATCACTTGAAATCTTATTTCGGTTAGTCAGTTTCAACCCTATTTTTTATAAATTATTTATTTGATTATTCATACCTTTATAATATTTGGGTTTTATGTCATATAGGTGTAATTAAAATGGGCTCATATTTGAAAAAAAATAAATAGAAAAAAGCTCAATTTTATATTGTTATTTGTTTTAATATTTTAAAAAATGGGCTCAATTTTAATAACCCAATATAAAACCGAAAAAATGAATTAACCAACCGAACCGAATTATCAAATTTCGGTTCGGTCCTTGTTCGGTTTGATTGGTTTGTTTGGTTCAATTCGGTTTTTATTTTTAGTATTATTCGGTCGATCGATTCTGCATATTTTGGAACCGAACCGACTGATACTCGCCCCTATTTTTGCCAAACCTTGAGGTTCAAAATCCTTTCATATTATTGCAGTGTCAGAGCTTCTTTTGACCTAAAAACAAAACTAAAATGCCCCCCCCCACACACACACTCATCTATGTGATACATAATAATGACTTGTCGATGATCGGTTTGTCATCAAAATTCTATAATCATGAAAAGGAACATATTTTTTCCCATATCCTTTAAGATTGTCCTAAAGCTCAGAGGTTTTGGTCAAATTAGTTAAAAGATCAAACCTTTTAATACTTTCATCCCTTTATTTTTGCAAGATTAGATTCTATGGAATACAATGCATGAAGTGAGGAGCTCTAATGCAAGGAAAGTCCCTTGGTAGAGACTTTAGAAAGGCTGCACTTTAGAAAGCTGTTGCTACCGAAAGAACCAACAAGCTGCGCGAAAGAAGCAAGCACCGGCCCCTTAACATAACATAAGGGGGGCAGGATAAGGAGCGTTAGCGAAAGCCTATAGTTAGCGTAGGCCCCTAGATTAATAAGGCGATGTCCCTATCAAATAAAGGTGAAGCGAGAGGAGTGAAGATTGCTAGGGAGAGGTATGGAATCACCCCTATCAGATAAAGGCAAAGCGAGAGGAGTGAAGATTGCTGGGAGAGGTATTGCACATGTTTGTTGGAAATTTTTGAAGGTCTCAATTTTCACAAGGGTGGTAAATTCCACAAAGTCAATGTCTATTTTGATTCGATTGAAACTCTTGCTCTTGTCAATAACAAAAACTCCTAGAACCATTTCCCATTCATTAGTTACATCAAGAAGATCAAGGATTTGATCATGAGAGTCTAGACTGTCATCATTGACCATGCTTGTAGAGAAAGAAACTATTTCTAATTGGCTTGCTAATCATGCATCCTAAGATGATACCAATGGTAGGATTTTGAACAAGAACCTTTTGCTTTTTGACTTGACCTCGTCTTGCTTTCTCCAGCATGGATTTATTATGGCCTTGTACTCTAAAAAATGGAGCATGTTTGGAAATCTTTTACTTTCACCTTCCTTGCCAGTACAATAATCTCTGTTGCAGATTCTGCAGCCAGGAATATCGCGCAGACATGGACCAAGACCCTTAACCATGCGGGTGGATTTAATGGCAGTATGTGTGTGTGATTGAGCATATTACTACATAATAGATATCTTGCATTTAACTAGACTGAAAAGATGAATTGATTGGAAATGCTGAAATAGAGAAATAACAACTTATCATTGTGAAAGGCTTTCTGTTTCTATGGACAAAACAAGAAGTGGACACTGCCACAGTGCAGGCGGGTCACTTTGTCCCCAACAGTTACAGCACCATGGTTTAGATTTGGTACTGCGCAAGGCAGGCACCACACACTTCATCATTCAAGTGGGGACCTCTTTTCCAAATTTTCATCAGCTAAACTGGTGCTTTGTGGTCAGGAATACGACCATTCCTTTGAGTTTTTGTTCTATTAGTCACAAAATCTTCTGCAGATACACGTTTTTGGTTTTCTTTGTCAAAATCAATCATCTCAGTTCTATTATCTTCCAACCAAAAAAACCCAGCTCATGTAGGTTAAGAAAAGCCATGATTTTTGCTATCCCGGTAATCCTTTGATATTTTCCATATCCTTGATCAAGTAAAAATGCATTAATGAAAGAACGTTATTTTGTGTAGGTTGCCATTACATCAGATATGATATTTGAACAACTCCGGCACAATATGAGAATCACAGTACAACTACTCTCTGATGTGTATATTGTTATTTCTAAATTAATGAATGGAAATTAAGCTGTTCTGAATCATCACTAAGAATCTCCTAGCCTATTTTCTTCCCATTAAGAATTTGAAGCAGCAACATTTTATTGGGAGCCTGCCTGCTTTTATGATCTTGTTTGCTTTTTCTTTAACCTTAGACTCTTCCTTTCTTCTTTTGTCTTCCAACTTTGCCCTTGCTCTTTGTGCTATTCTATTTATCCTTGCTAACTTGTACTGGTAATGCTGCATTGCCATTGCTCTTTTCTGGTCCAGTTCGTTCTGTGGATTCCATTAGCCATGAGAAGATTATATTCACAACTTCAAATATAGAATGTTACAACTACTAGATCTCAAACCTTCTTCCTGTCCTTTTGAAATATGGCCTGCATCTTCTTCTCACCCTCCCATAGAAGAATCTTAAACTTTATCTTCTCATATCTGAAAAGTATTCTTTTAGTCACTGGAGGAATCTGGATTAAACTTCTGTCGCAATTCATATTTAAGCAATTGCATAGAAAAAGGGACAGACTCTGGCAACTTTTTTAATGTTTGATATCATGTTCTGCCATGAATGCATAATACTGAGAGAAAACCACGTTTCTCGCTGGCTGGAGATGAAGATTTAAGATGATAATTAAGTCACAAGGCAATGTGACCAACAAGCTAGTTTTGTGGGATAGGTTCATCTCATGGTTTATATCAGTTAGTATCAAGATATTTCTACTACTGTCTCAATTTCAATTGTGCGGCATGGTGGAATATTATAAAGACCAACAACCTACAACGTATCTCTATCAAGACATATTCAAGGTGGAATATAGAGGCCAACAACCTGCGAATTATCTGTGTCAAGAGGCTAACTTTTTGAAAAAAATATATCTATGTCGAGCGACCAACAACCTGCGAATTATCTATGTCAAGAGGCTAATTTTTTGACAAAATATATCCATGTCAAGAGACCAACAACCTACAAATTATCTATGTCAAGACATTTTCAATTGTGCGGCAAGGTGGAATATATTTAATTTATCATGTTTTGGCATTACCGCTTTTGAATCTCGGCCAATTTCCAAGATTCTGCTCTGGTGTTGACATTATTTTGTTGCCAGGGAGTGTGACTTTCTTTTTGTTCTTGATGTCTTGCTGCTTGATTTGGAGGACTTGGAGATTGTCCTGCCCTTAAAATTCTAACAGGAAACGCACCTTCATGATCCTCTCTAAGTGACTTTTTCTTCGGACTTCCTCCTGTAAAAGTCAATCCTCCATCAACAGATGTTATAAGCTAAACATGCATATGAAACAGACACTTGAAAGAAGGAAGGAAAGAGAGAATTGTGCTTGACAATTGTAACTTTGTGTTGTTTGTGCTAAGTATTGTGCTTTATCTTGTTATTGGAATGGGATATGATATAATTACCATAACTTGGCCTCCTAGTTATGCTTTCTTCTTTTCTTCTCATAGTCTGAGACCTTGAAGATTTATGGCCTTCTTTCATCTTTTGCAAATTAAGCAACTCTTCCTGTTCTAGCGAGTAAATGGCCAATGCTGCGGCTGCAACTGCAGTTTCATGCTTGTCATCTCTAATTATACGTTCATCCTCAGCAACTGGCCTCACAAACCCTTCCTTTTGCTGCGATGGTGGATCAGAAAATGACACTCCTCAGCAAAAGACGAGATAATATTTCATTAAGAGCAAGAAAAAAGGGTTCATTTTAAGAATTTGATCTTAGAAATGGGCTTTTCCATTTCAAGAAGCTTCAGATAGATTATGTACACCTCCTTTGCTTGAGCCTATTTTCCATCCTGAAAGTGCAGCCTCTTTGATTAAGAATTGGATCTGGGAAATGGGCCTTTTCACATTGCTTATAAACGATTCAGCTTTTAAACAGAAGATGAATAGAATCGAAGCAAACATTCTTCAGAAGCAGCCTCTAGAAGAAGCAAGAATCAAGACATACATAATACACGCAGCCATGCGCGCATAAACCCCAGTCATCAACTTGTTACCATTTTAATCTTCAAGGCTGCTTGTTCTCTGACATTCTTCCTGTGAAGGCATCTGAGGCCAAAAACATCATCTTTTTAGTGCCCGGGCCTATGTTTTGCAGCTACTCTTTGTTCGCTCACCATGGAAGAGGATAACTGCTTGAGGCTTGAGACAAAAACAAGCAATATATCTTTAGACAGTCATCAATCAATAATGATTTATTATAGTTTAAACAATCTTAAGACACATCCCCATTACCCACTCAGAATTTAGGCAAGAAAAGATAAACAGAGAGAATGAAACGTAAGACCTAAAAAATTAATTTAATGACAATTAGTTCTCAAAATAAAAGCACAAGTTTGGCACTTGCATAAGGAGGAAGCCTCACGTGACACTACCAGTCTCAGTCTTTCCGCGCTCAAAAACTTGAAACTCGTAATAGAGACTGTGCTCTGCCGTCTTTTCACTCGGGATGCCATGGTTCTCACGGAAGAACAGAAAAAACGAGCCGAAGCAAACCGGTTGGCGGCAATTGAAAGACGGAAGGCAGTTTTAGAAGCTCGTGGACAGAAAGACCCTTGGCAGCTCTTCAAGTGCCGTAAGATCTCTTCCGAACCAATTGCGAAGCCCACACCTTCCGTTCAACCTCAGTCCGTCTCCGTGGAACCTGTTTCTCCCGCATCTCTGCCCCATAAGTTTTTGGTTAGGCTCGAAATATGCTCACCCGATTCCTTTTCTGCAACTCCTCTTCCCCTCCGGGGTTCCCCCTATCCCGGAGAAGAATGGTGCTTGCGGAGACTAAGTGGTCACTTGACCAATGTAAGTCATTCTGAAACCATGTTTGGTTCGGGAGAAAATGCTGTAAAATAACCGAAATGGTTTGATAATCTTGAACTTATGATAAAGATTTTTTCTTTCTTGGCGGATGTGTGGGTGCTTCAGTGCCATCGATGTTTGGTTGCTTCAAATACTAGAAAATGTTTGAATTATTTTTTCATCTTTATTGGTTAAGTGATTCTAAATTTTTTATGGAGATTCTATTTTTCTTCCGAAGACGTGAGTGCTCTTGAGCCCTTGATATTTGTTATCAGGGTTACTTTTGTGGAAATTAGTTTACCTTGACATTTTCAGCTGCTGTTGCTATTATTTGATGTTTTGTTGTGTCCTCTGATTTTTCTCAGGTCATGCCTTCACACTACACCCAGAATAATGATGGCAGAAACGCCTGTGTGTATAACTTGAGGGATTACCATGCTGTCCTTAAGTGTTTGAAGGCTGTCATGGACATAGAAGTTGAAGAAATTCCGCAGGGAACTTTGAAAGCCGTTGAAGCGTTTTCACATTTCTTTGCTACGGAGCGCTGGACGCCCTGCAGGCCCGAGCATTTGCCTGATGACAAGGTTGATGAGTTAATTGGGACGCTACCAAGGGCTCTGTTGGATGCACTGTTGCCTTTCCAAAGGGATGGTTTAAGATTTGGATTGAGACGGGGTGGCCGGTGTCTTATTGCTGATGAGATGGGCCTTGGGAAAACGCTCCAGGTAAGATAGGCTTCTAAGCTATAACTTCGGGTAAATAAAATGGCATCTTGCGATGTAGTTTAAACACATTGGTATATCCTGGTTGATTCGGTTAATCAGAATTGGCATTTGTTATGTTGCTCAAGAAAGTCTGTAGTTTCTCATTTGCTTGGAATATCTGTTGATACTTCAAGAAACGGATGATTCTTCTTGGGTCTCACATATTAAATGCAATTTCATTCTCTGAAATGGGTGGAATTTTAGAAGCTTCATCTGCATCTGATAAAATGATGGAATCACCTGAAGTTGTTATCTTTTTGCTGTTCTCCAGGCTATTGCTATTGCAGGATGCTTCTTGAATGAAGGTTCTATACTTGTTGTTTGTCCAGCTGTTTTGCGATTTACATGGGCAGAAGAATTAGAGCGGTGGCTTCCCTGTTGTTTGCCTGCTGATATCCATCTGGGTAATGCTTTATGTTTTATCTTTAATTTTATGTTACTTGCTTTGTTCACTTGGTAGTGTTAAATGGCGAGGTTCCTCTGGTAAAAAAAATAGGGTGTGGTCTCGGAGCAGTATATGCACGGGGAATTGTTCTTGAGCAGACTGTATGATATTATCATAATCACACTGCATATTTAAAAATCAAGTCAGTGTTAATATAACTGTTAATTTATAGTTGTTTAGAATGCACAAAAAGATTTGTCTTTTTTAAAAGGGGAAAAAGAGTAAGTTGGTTTTTGGGAAAAGAACATATGACTTATGACAGTTAAGATAGATGAATCAGCTATATTGTATTCAGTTAATTTTGTTTGACAATTCTTAAATGGAGTACACGTTATGTAGATGAAAAATTCATTGAACCAGTGTTTAGGCATGAATGATTGGTTTGTTAGCAATGAGACAATAAGGACCAATTGGCGCTACTAAGACTGTACTTGTGAAAGTAGACTTAAAACTGATGATTTCTTGCCATGAACAAAGTAGGGTTTTGAAAGAATCTATCGTGTTATTTGATCATGAAATTAGATATTGAAAAAGAGAAGAGATGTAACCTTGACTTTGTGTCTAGTGCGTGATTGCTTTGCACAGCCAAGCAGATGGTAGTTTTGCTGAAAGACACTCAATTTGATCAATATCATTGTGTAAAAGGCATTATCATTACTCCCTCTATTAAAAAATGTAAAGTGTTTTTTGAAAGGTTAGATGTTAAAAAATGTAAAGCATTTTTATTGTTTTAAGGTACAATCTTTGTGCTTTTTCCAAAAGCGCCCATAATAAATAAATCACTATATATTTATTTTAAAGTAAAACACCCTATTAAATAAGGGTAAATATGAAAAGGTGATATTAGTTTGAAGATATGTAACTATTTTACTGGGAGATGAAATTTAGCTAAAAATGCCTTACACTTTTTAATGGAGGAAGCATATAAATGGGGTTTTTCAAAAATATTACTCCCTCAACCCCAATTTGTTAGACATTTTTAAATGAAATCACATATACAAATAAAGTTCATTAAATACATTTTACAGCCTTACTTTTTCAAAACAAAAATATAAACTTTTAAAAATGTCCTTAATTTAATACTTTATTCGTGAAAGAATATTAACAAGAGAGAGAATATATAGAAAGGGTGATATTTGAAAAGCATCATCAGTAAAACCTTACTTTTATCAAAGTATCTTTTATTTTGGAATGCCAAATTTTCCTCAAAAATGTCTTTTAAATTGGGACGGAGGGAGTATATTAGAGATTAGGATTTCAACATAGCAAGGACCAAGAAAGTTAATGGAAAGATTACAATGAGGCTTTACTCATAATTTTTTTTGGATCATTTCCTATTATTTGATCTTGTTAGAATATTACTCAGTTAATTTGTAGTTATGCGTTTTATTTATAGTTAATGGAAGTGGTATGCATTTATTCTAGTAGTTAGTAAATTACTTTTCCTTTGTATACATAGCCATGCACTTTTTCAAATCATTCAAGAGAAAGTAAAGAGAAAAATAGAAATCTTTCTTCACCCTCTCAGCTCTTTTAGCTCATCTTCTGTCGTGTTAAATCATGTTGACTCTGGCCTCAGACTTATTCTGTATGCTGCACTGGGATGGTCCTGTTCATGATACATCATATAGATTGGCATGCCATTGATTTAAACAAAAAAAAAAAAGGAAATAATGTTTTTCTTGTGTTACTCATCATCTATTGCAATATTTTAGATTGAATTTGATCATCATGATAATCGAAATTGTACTTTCTTCCTGTGGCATGATTTTCTATCTCTATAGTTGGTTTATTTTGGCATTAACTTGTGTCCTTTTATGCAGTCTTTGGCCATCGAGATAATCCTGCTTATTTAAGAAGATGCCCTAGAATTGTGGTTATTTCTTATACCATGCTCCATCGTTTGAGGAAAAGCATGCTTGGGCAAGAATGGGCCCTCTTGATTGTTGATGAATCTCATCATGTGCGATGTACGAGGAAGACCTCAGAACCAGGGGAGGCATGTACAGCTTCCATAACTTTTTCTTGTTTGGAGATTTGAAAAATTGGAACTTACTTTATATGCGGTGCTAATCTCTTTATACATGAAAATTGATCCCTTTGGAGCTTTCCCTTCACTGTTTTGGTTAATCTTATACTTCTAGATTTCTAGACTTTGGGATTCACTGGGAAGTATTGACGGAGCTGGTTTTCAGCACTGTATGCTGAATGGCTGATCGTGCCAAAAAATGTCTCTATGCTACAAGAACTGATTTTTTGATGTTTCTATGAAGCTCTTTTTCTCCTTTACTTTTCCTTTTGTGTGTAAGTGAGGGGCTGGAAAACTGCTTCTATTGTGAAACAAATGATTTGAAGTGTGTTTTGAATGTCATCTCTTTTCTGTCTTGGCAGATAAAGGCTGTTCTTGATGTAGCTTCAACTGTCAAGCGCATAATACTGCTATCTGGGACACCTTCTTTGTCAAGGTTGTAGCATAGGTCACAGCAAGCTGGCTGCATCAACTTTGCTGCAAATAATTTTTCTTGGAATGACTGATGTCATGCTATGATATAATTTGGGTCTTTTCCTTTTTTATATAATTTCAACTTCCTAGTGTTTTCTTATATCTTATGGTGCATTTCTTCCTAGGTGACTCGTAGGCCATATGACATATTTCATCAGATAAACATGTTATGGCAAGTATATTCTCACTGAACATTTTTCACGTGAATTTAATTTCTTTGATACTTGTTAATTGAATTTTCTTGATCACACTTCTGTTTTGCAGGCCTGGACTGCTGGGCAAGGATAAATATGCATTTGCTAAAACTTATTGCGATTGTAAATATATCAAGGGAATCCATGGCAAAATTTTTGCGGTAATCCTGTTAGAAGTTCTTCATAACCTGTATTTCTGCATGATTGCTTATCATGAATAGCTTTTTGTATTTAGTTTGTATTCTTGATCAATAGAAGAACTGGAGAACATTCCTATTGCATGCCTTATTCAGAAGATAGTGCTGCTTATGATCTGGTTCTGTTGGGCTGATGGAAATATTTGTGATATTATCTGCTTTTGCAAAGAAGTTAGATTCTCTGAACTACAGCTTCATATTTATTTTTTCTTCTCTTTTCACCTTTACAAAGTGCAATTTAGTACCTATCATGCAGACCAAGGTCACATCCTTTTTTGCATCTCTGGTCAAATGATGTGAAAAGTCATGAATTTGAATTGATGATATTTAGTTGTTTATTTTTTTTTTAATTTATCTTCATGAGTGAAAGTTGACAAAGAAAGGGGCTTTTGCGGCAGGATTTTTCAAAGGGCATTCGCTTGGAAGAGTTGAATGTGTTACTCAAGCAAACTGTTATGGTGGGTTCTTGATCCTTATGGCTTTTATTTTTAAATTACTTATTGCACTGTTGTCATTATTTTTTTAAAGTAGTCTTCTGCTATGGTCTCGGCTCCTTTAATGGTTAACCACCTAGTCCTGTATTCTGGAACAATTTGTTGGAGCTTGTGCAGCCAAACCAGATTCTTTAATGAGTTTGATTTGGCTGTATTTTTAGCACTAAACCAGATTCTTTAATGAGTTTGATTTGGCTGTATTTTTGGCACTCCTAATTTCTTTATATTGGCTTTGGGATATACCTTACAACTTTCTTGCTATATTACTATCATATTTTGGGTTCACACTCTCCCTGTAACACATTTCATTCTATTTACTACCTGATGTGAAAACAATGTTTAGGTACTTCTGTGAGGTAAGGGTAGGTAATTCTGGTGCATGTATCTGAATTTTAGCCTCCAGTTGGTTTACTGAGTATACTTACCTACCCTTGTGACAAGTGTTGAAGATAGATATTACTGCTTGATTGGTTAGAAACTTGTCTTATTTGTTGTCCATGTAGATAAGGCGTCTAAAGGAACATGTGCTGCTACAATTACCACCAAAACGGCGGCAAATTATACGGTTGCTGTTGAAGAGATCAGATGTAGTTGCTGCAAAAAAGGCAGTTGGAAAGTTGAATGGCAGTACTTCCAAAAGTGATACTGACGACATGACCTTGGACAGTTTTGATGAACCTGATGGGATGTTGAAGAGATCAGATGTAGTTGCTGCAGAAACAGCAGTTGGGGTGTCAGATACTGATATTGATACTTCTGAAAGTGTTAATGAAGACATAACTTTGGAAACTTTGGATGAATCTGAAGGTATTATCCAGGACTTATAACCACTTTAGTGTCTGATTCCCATGTTTGTGCTTTAAGTAAGGTCTCCTAATAGTTCTTTGTTCAGCCTTGTGTTAGATATTGCAGCTAATGATGGTATTTCATCATAAAACCCAGAGGTCGCAAGCTTAAACCAATTCTCCATATAATCAACCACTTCATAAAATGTAACATTAATCTCAAACTAAATGGATAATAGTATGATCATCCTATTGTTACCAAATGCCTATTGTCAATGATCTCAATAAAGTTCAATAAGACATACTAAAAAATCATAAAACTTGAGCAAATTATAGGTTACCTTTTATGTCCATTGGCATTACAGATTTGAAATTGTTGTAGGGGCTGCAAAAGAAAATTAAACCTTTTTTTATAGCTTCCAATGAAGAAGACCTTGTGGTTTCAATATAGCTCATGGAAGGATTACAATTGATAAACTCTTACGTATTTGCTCCAAAAGAAAATGGAATATTTGGTTTATCCAGAAAATGAATTCTATGTCATTCATTGTTGACCTTGCTTACACTTTCTTCACTCAATCAAATTGATTTAATTTGTGCCATGACAAAAGAAAAAATTGATGCTGAACAGCTGTTGAATGGATTAGAATTTGATTCAGGTAGGAACATTTCCATTGAGGTATCTTACTGTCTTTGTATTTCTTTTGTATCTATTATCAGGGAAGCTTTCCTACCAGGAACTTGGAATTGCAAAGCTTTCTGGATTTCGTGAATGGCTTTCCCTCCATCCAGTCACTGCAGAGTCAGAAAGTGCTTCAAAAATGATAATTTTTGCTCATCACCACAAAGTTCTTGATGGAGTGCAGGTAAATCTTTTCCTTAGTTGGGAGTTACTGTTTTCTTTGGATTCCCTTATTCACTGCATTTTCTAATGGTGTCATTTGCCTTTTGAGTTTCCTTTCTTTATCCTATGTTCACTACCTTCATACTTTATTTCTTTTTGGCCCCTAAGGCTTTGGTGACTTTGATGTCTAACAAACATTTAGATCTAATGTGTGACACTGTCTTTTTATATCGCTCAGGAGTTAGTATGTGAGAAAGGAATTAGTTTTGTCCGAATTGATGGAAACACACTTGCTAGGGATAGGCAGTCAGCGGTGGTGTCATTTCGTTCAAGACTGGAGGTATCATAGATTCATAATTTGATTGCAGCTTTTTCATGGAATTGTTTGTGATACTTTTTCTGCTATCTTCTTGCTCTCCTTCCTCACTCTGTTTAACCTATTGGTCCAATGTAGCCTTCTATGTGCTTCTATGGCATGTAAAATGTGAGATATTTTGATGAACAGAAGACACTCTTGCTTTTTTGCTCATAAGCCAATAGCCTTGTCTCTGCTCTATTATTGTTCTGTTGGCTCAAATGACTGAATTATTATAGTGAGTTTTGCCTGGTTCTGAGCTTGCATAAGCACTTCTTGCTGGCAAACAAACTTACTTGGGTCATTTAAGGTCAACTTTTGTGCTCTTCTCGTGAAAAGATCAATTTGAATGTGTTCATTAAGCTCCTGTAAATTTTGAAGAACCATATTGTAGACTTGTAGTTTGCAATTCTCTGTTACCATCAAACTAGCTGCCTTTCTATGCATTATTTTTGCATGGACCTACATACAATACAACATGCCATGTCCAATATATTTTTAGTCGTTATACTTGACATGGCTACATCAGTTTCAATTAGCCTTGCTCTGATTCATAGGTTATGATTTTCTCAGGTTAAAATTGCAATAGTAGGTATTTTAGCAGCAGGATTTGGAGTTGATTTCTCAGCAGCACAAGATGTCGTGTTCTTGGAGCTTCCACAATGCCCAACTCTGATGCTTCAGGTTCTGTTTCTATCATCCTAACCATTGATGTTGGAAACTCTGATCTGTTTCAGAAGTCTCCACGCATGAAATACAAAGTTGTCTAAGATGCTGCAGATTGCATTTTCTGAAGTGCAGAAAAATGATTGGCATTTTTGTTGAAAAGAAACAATGACTGTTGCATCATAATGAAAAAATGGATGCATGGTCAATGACAATTAATCTTTTCTTTTTTTTTTCTTTTTAATGATGCCAATACCATGTTTTAAATCTCAAAATATGATGCTGGTTCTTTTAATGATAGTTGCACTGGGCACAGTGGATGCGTCAGGTGACTGCATTTGAAAGGAGACACAGAAACGGGAACATGGTTGATTTCACATGATATTATTTTGCACTTTGCAAGCTCTAGTGGTTTCATTTAGTTTTTTAGGTGAGTGGGTATTGCTGTTTTACTGCAATACTTAATTATGTGAATCTCCTTTGAAGGCTGAGGATAGAGCTCATCGCCGAGGGCAAACAAATGCTGTCAATGTATATATATTTTGCGCAAAGGTGCCTGCATTTTTATTGTTCATTCCAAATATTCAGGATTTCCTCTTGTGAATTTTTTTCTCTCAAGCAGGAATTGCTGGTTTGGTCCTTGTGCAGGATACCTGGGATGAGTCACATTGGAAAAATTTGAACAGAAGTTTGCACCGAGTTTCATCGACAACAGATGGTAAATATGATGCAATGAAAGAGATACAGGTAGCATTATTGTGTCTTTGCTATGAGTTTTCATATATTGAAAAGGAGAAATTTCTTTCTGCTTTCTTTTCACTAACAGGGTAGTTTAAACCATATAATGTTTTGCAAACTATAGACTTGTAGAAGAAATTTTTAAGCATGTAATCTCTATATTGAATGCATTTCCTTTCCAACTTAGGAGATTAAAAAAAAAAACAATTGATAGGTCGGCTTTCCAAGTGAGTATTTATACAATTTTACATTGTCATGAGTTCAGATTTACTTTTAATTTATTGTTTCCAATTGTGATAAGTCCAAGTTAGTGATTTGCCTCCATCAGTCATCTCAATACTTTTTACCTTTTTGTATCTTTTGTGAGTTTAACCAGGATTCAATATTTATCTTTCCTCCTTCCTGTGAACTTTCGATGAGTAAACTGAAAATGATAGAATTTTTGCAGTGCTTGAAGTTGATTTATCTTTCATTCTCTGCTATAACATTCAACTTCCTTTTGTGGGGGTGGGGGGTATTGGGTGGCAGGTTGAAGGTGTTACTTACCTGGACACACTTGTCAAAACCAATAGAAGTTATGAAGAGCAATCTGCATCTGATGAAACTTATGAACAGGTGACCACACTGCTGGATTTTGCCTCAGTTTCAAATTTGCAACCTTCCCAAGCAAACTTTAAGGAATCAGAGGCAAGATTGGGTGATCAAGCTGATCAGCAGACTTGCTTTGTAAATAATTTAGTTCGGACTGCTCCTCTTGTTTATACTTGAAGTTTAGATTCTTTGACCTTGATAATCGTATTTGATTTTTCTCTGTTTAAACGCAATATTCTATTTTATTCATGGAATAGGCTGACAAGGTTTCCAGCCCAGAATCAGGCGGGGCTTCTATTTTGGATGTAAATCTGGGTGTAGATCTTTTTGACACCAAGGGAAGATGCTCTGGTATTGACATGAGTAAGATGGACAAGAGTGGACGAAGCAACAAACAGATGGTAGAATTTATTCAGAAGAACAGTGGTGAAGATGATAATCAAGTAGACGAGGTGCTTTCACTTTACAGTATTTAACTTGGAGAGAACAACTGCACTTTTCGTGTATGTGAACTTGACAGCTCAATAATGTTTTTCTGGTGTTTGGGACGCAGAATAAACAATTATCAACAATAAAAGCAGATGACTACCATCCTGTTCAGCCAATTGAAGCTGAAGAAAATTCCTCTTGTGCTGAATCTCTACGATTTGAGGCAAGTTTATTTATAACATTATTTTGCCTTTTTCATATTAGATGGAGTTAGTTGAGTGTACTGTCTGCTCTGTAGTACAAGTGCTTCTGATTTTTCTGAACTCATGGTCATAGGGCTAGTTTGGTGAGCATCATCTTACTATATATTATATCTGAATTTTATCCTAAAAATTGCAAATGAATGTAGTGATGTTCTTTATATGGATGAGAAAATGGATTGTCGCCTCGGTGACTTGAAGCATTCTTCGTTAGTATTGGTTATGATTAGACTGCTGATCACCTTATATATATGAGAATAATTCTTACTTGTTCTCTCAGGTGAGCCCGTACACTGGAAGGATCCACTTGTATACTTGCATTTTGGGTACAGACACAAGACCAAGACCGCTTTTTAAGAATTTCCGACCAGAGGAACTTGAGTTGCTCAGTTCCTTTTCTGATGATGATAAAAAGAAAAAGGAGATCTCTGTCAGGGGTAGTCCTGCTTTTACAAATGCTCTTTTGGAATTTTCAAATGAATGGAAGAAATTGAGGCCAATTGAGCAAAAGAAGTTACTGGGAAAGCCATTACAACTTCCTTTGGCTGTTGAACTGTGCTACTTGAGCGAAACTAGTAGCCACAACAAGAAGGTGTGCATAATTTGAACACTTTTATGGATACCATTGTCTCTTTCATCTCAATCTGTCTACCCTCTAATGTTTTTTGGCCATATGTAAATGTATCTATATTGTTTCTTTGACAGGGATTATTAAATGGTGGAAGTAAACGGCGTATGACACCTTTAATGGAAATAAGCCATCCTTTGCCATCAGATGCTGTTTGGAGAAAGATCTATCTGCGAAGTGGCAATGGTAAGAAGGAGAAAGAATACACTCAAGCTTGGACTCTGACAGATGAGCCACTCTGTAAGCTTTGTCAAAAGACGTGCATGTAAGTCCCAAGGAAGTGATGTATTGGTGTTATTGTTTGTTTGAGTCTTCAATCAGTTTCTCTGCTTTTCAGGGGTAACAATGCGAAGACACCTGAATATTTTGAAGATCTTTTCTGTAACCTTGTCTGCTATGAAGAATATCGTATGAGAACAAGCAATAAATTCCTTCGGCAGGCAAGAACTTGTTCATGCTTGAACTAGAATATATACCAAAAATTCCTTTGTTATGACGATTTTCTTTATTTGATTCAGTGTGAGTGTCTGAGCTCTTGTTAACCAGCTTGAGATTAAATCTGCAGGAACTTTTTGAAGTTGAGCATGGTGTGTGCTCAAATTGCCATTTAGACTGTCATAAACTAGTTGAACATATAAGACCTTTGCCAGGAGCAAGACGTAGAGAGTACATTGAGAAAGTGGCACCAAATGTGGCTGGGCGAAAGAACATGTGAGTCTTTAAAAGTGAATGCCAATCTCTTGTGATGTTAAATGGCACATTATATACTTTTTAACAAGTTATTGTAAGAAAGGCTGTTGACAGTTTTGCTTGTCAATTTAATACCGTGTGTCTTTTGAAAACACCAATTGGCCATCTGCAGGCTTGAGAAGCTTGTCAAGGATCCAACTGAGGGCAATGCGTGGCATGCTGATCATATTGTTCCAGTATATCAAGGTGGAGGTAGGAACCTATCCTTACCACCTCACACCCCAATTTTCAAACCCCCTTTAAAGGGGATTTGGGATGGTTTGAGTTCCATTTGTCTTTTTTCATTTACTCTGTCACCCTTTCTTGCCTTTAAAGGAATATATAAGGAATACATATATTTATATATAAGGCAATAAAGGCATTTTCGCCCTTCAAACCTGTGATATAATAGGTCAATTTTTTACCTGCTTTTCACCCTTTCACCCGTTTGGTTTCAATATACAAGGGTAATATCATCCGCCCACCTTTTGCCTAACTTTCAATCATTGAAGTGGGTGCATAGTCCCTTCCCACTTTACTTTATTCCACCTCTTCAGAACTTCCAAGTGAGTCCTTGCGCACTTAGCTTACGGTCACCGAATCCCATGATAGCCATTTGAAAATTATTGATAATGTAGTCTACCAATTAATCATAACTAACAAAAAACTAAGCTTCCAAATGTTCTTTTGTGTCATTGTTTTATTTAAATTTATTTCTGTGTTTAAACAAGAGAAAAATCAAGTTCAAGGTTTGGGTCCTCATTATTTTCAACATGTGCATAATTTTTTGTGGCTGGCACTATTGTCATAGAGTTGTGTCTGAAGCTTTTTTTTGTTTATAGATGCCCAGTTTGTTAGTGGGTTAGTCAACAAGTTTCTCTTGCAATATTTTGTAAAATTTTCAACCATGCCGACTCCCTTACCTCTTTTGTCATGCATTTTATCATGAATTGAGTGGAGTTTGAAGTTTATGTATATGTATGTGCATGTGCATATAATATAATTTTCTTTGTATGTAGGTGAATGTCGGCTAGAGAATATGAGGACTCTTTGTGTGGCCTGCCACTATGATGTTACAACAGCACAGTGTACTGAGCGACGCAAAGAGAGAGCCAAGGCCAGGAAACAGCTAAAAGTAGTTATGAGCGAGTTAAAAGCAGGTCAAATGAAGGTCACCACAGGTTCTAATACTAAGGTAAGTTGTTGGTCAGGCATTGGTTTAACCTGTGCTAGTACAATGTTGTTTTTGAGGTCGAGCATCATGAGATGTATTTCAAATGCCGGCTTGAACTTGGCCTGCATTTCCATCTTAATGAAAATTTCTAATTTGCTTCATAAAGGTGATTTGGTTTATAAATTGGAGATGAGGCATTGAATGTTCCATTGCAAAATATTGTCAATTTTACATATTTTCAACTTTCTGCATATCAGAAGTTTCAAAGATGGAGGACTTGCAGTTGATTCTTAAATGACCATATCTCTTTCCTTACATTACGGAAATGAGATTAGCTAACAATTATGTTTGTTTTGATATGAAATGCTGACGCTAAATGTGTGTATTTCAAGTGATTAGATTTCAATGACTTGGATATTAATCAGTTCTCACTCCGTCTGATCATATTGAGCCTTAGATTTATTTTAATCTTGCCCTTCGTTTGAAGGGAGAGATAAATAGAAAGGAAGAAAAACTAGAATGGAAAACTACTAAAAACAATAAAAATTTAATATTTATGGAAATTTCTCTTTCTAGATTTCTCTCCTCTCTAATTTCTTCCCACTTTTCCCTCCATCTAAACCTAAGCCTTAGTGAGCATTCAAACACCTACAACCATTTCATTGTCAGTCGCTGTTTTATGAATTTCATGGCATTGTCGTGTCTGTATAGTGTGAGTCTAGTGTGCATGTCCATGTCAAATGTCCCAGATTTTAACTTTCAGAATGCTGCGTTTGATCTTCCGACTTAGTTGGGGCTATTACATTATCTAGGCCCTTCTACATAGTAACAGTCTGAAATCTTTGAATGCGCACCTGGTGCAAGTAAGCTCGCATTTCATTTTCAACCTTGCTTGGCGAAATTTGCTTAAGCCAAAAACTTTGACCCATTCAAGTACTTTCATTATTCATTAGTAAGATAATCCATCTGTTTGAGCACCAAAGTCGCTGATTGTTATGTGATTTTAAATTTCAATACATTATTCAATTAACTTCAGGAGCGGGGTCTTCTTGGGTTACAGGAGGATGGAAACGAGGACGAGCTCATTGTCAAGGTGCCTGGAAGTGCCTATTCAGTAGCCATGGCTAAGAAAGTGGAGGAGCATCCTCGAAGGCCTCTTCTATGACAAGTACCTGGTTGAAAGTTGAAACACTTGCATGCCTACCCTCAATTTATCATTGTACCTGCCCGTTGTATGATTTTTTGGATGCTGTCAATTTCGTTCCGAGGTACTTTTTTGAAGCAGCTCCTTGGGATGTCTTATCTTGAGGTACAACGGACGACGAAATTGAGGTGATCTGATGATTGACATAAAAGGGAGATGCGTTCAACATGAACAGCGTTGGGGTACAAGTCAGCTAAGTGATCAACTTTGGTTGACCTAATTATTCCGCAGGTTACAAGATTTGAGCCACAATTGATAGCACCAACGCTTGCTTCCTGTTTGTGGGGCTTCTTTTGGTGTCAATGATTTGAGCAGTTTGATTTGCCTGCCTAGCGAATTGTTTTGTCATGACTCGTGAATCTTGGTCTGGTGTAATGGAATTTATCATATACGTTACTTTTTGGGTATTCTCTGCATCACCGGACATTGAAGATTTCAGCTTGATTGGTGATGTTAAAAATGATCAACGTTGTACTTTGCCCGATGTTACTATAGATAATAAATATTCTTGGTCACATAAAAAATCAGATTCAGTTGTAAAATTTACTGATTTTGTTGTTCCTATTAACTATTTTATTTTATGGGTGCACTCTATGTTTTTCTCAGTCAATGGAACCTTCGGTCCCTATGGTGAGTAAAACCTTTGAAGTACTTCGGTATAAATATTGTTGTATTCTGATAGGAATATAGTAGAGTGATCTCCAATGTTAGTTCGTGTTTCATTTTCAAGTTTATACTTACCCTTTAAATAAGGGTAGTTTTGAGGAGATGGAATAATTTTAATAACAAACTAATAACTAATTTTGATTGATTTTATTGGTTCTCGTAAGTTAATTAGAAGTCATTGATAAATAGGGACTGAATGTGTACCGTTGTAAATTTGTTGTTAAGTTTCGTCTATTATCACTGATTTGCCAAGCTATTCATCAGTCCTGACCAGCAGCAATACAACCTTCTAGCAATTCTGTTTCCAAACAAGCACGTGCCCTTGGAGGCCGGGCACCATCTAAGCCAGAAAAGCTAAGCAATTATTATTGTATGAACATGAATTATCTTATTCATGATTGCAAAAGACCCTTGTATTTTGGCACCAGGTGACTAAGTGAACTTTCATGTATAATTTACACAAGACAGTTACATCACAGCTTTTAGGATGCTCATGTATGAAGCTGCAACGCGTAACACGAGAGAGAAATCATCAAGGTATATTCTATGAACAAATCTCAACTAAACAGGCGCGTAGATCCATATTTTTCATTTGTAAGCTTCAATTTATAATGTTTGAACTCGTACTTCATCAATTCCACTCGGAATCTCCGCCGAAAAGAACTGCTCTGCTTTATCAATAAAGCTGTTAGGAAATCTACAATACAACATTAAAGATGAAGCCTCTGGAAGGTACAGATTTTGCTTAGGAGCCACTTCTTCATTATTCTTAATTGCCTTGCTATCCCTCTGGCTTCTCATCTTGCTAGTTTTGATGCCATTTCCCAAAGCACCATTCTTTCCCGAAGAGCTTCGAGTGCCTTTGCCATTAGTGCGGCTGTATTTTATTGGAACATCCGCGTGAGGCTTTCTAAACTCAGAACCCCCTTGATTTTGTACATTAGATTCATCTGCTGGGGAACTATCTGAGGTTGAATTAAACTGAGATGTAGATGAAGCATTTTTGCAAGATCTGAGCAAGGAAATTAACATATCAACATTCAGTTCTTGTTGAACTACAAACTTGTTCTGCCCACACCCGTAGCATGCAGCAATCAACGTGGCAGCCAAAACTGGCATCAACTCAGGGTCACTGAAGAAAACGAAAGGCAGATCGCATATCTGTCTTGTTCCAACTCAATATTAGTTTATATCAACAAAATTGAGGAAATGAATAAAACCTTTTTAAACATTCACAGACCTTGTGGAGGATGGTTGGACTTTTTCCCCATCGGAGGACAGCTTGATTACCAGGATGGAACAAAGCAAAGTGACCAAGAAGTGATAGAGATTCAAGCATAAGGATTCCAATCTGAGATACAGCAGTACATGGCATTAAAGCACAGCCGTATATCTGCCTACAAATTACTTTTGTTAACGCATAACATGAAAGAACACAACTATCCTCCAATAATCTCAGTAGATGATAAAAACCGCATCTCAACTTTTTCCAAAGAACTTTATTTTGGGGAAGGACAGAGTGCATGGGGATGAGATCTTGAACAAATTTGATTTGAAAAGTCCACTCGTGTTGGAAAAATCCAACAATACTAAATGGGTGGATTTCATATTAGAAGATCTTGATTTTTAATGCTGAAGACATCTCCAAGTTATCATCCATCTGAAGCTTTAAAGGAAAAAGGGTCCCATCTATTTTCTGGCGATATCACCAATAACATATTTGGGTAGTGGGTGTTATTCAAAAAGCACTGCCAAAAAGATAAAAATATATAACGCACCTGATCATTTGAAGCTTTCCATTTGCTGGTGCAATGAGAAAGAAGAAAGCTCATCAGATGGAAAATTTCCATTTTCAAATCTGGCCTAGCCTGTAAGCAAAACAGAATTAAGGAAAAGGAGAATTTTTCAATGAGTGAGCGGTAGAAACAGGAAAGGGGGCAAAGAAGTAGAGATTAACTTACAAAATTAAATTATCAAGATCCTAATAACGTTCAAGATAAACCAACACTAAAATAGAAGCTCACAATAAAAACAAAAAAACTTACTAGCATTTGTTGCAAAAATACAAGATTCAAAAGAGCCACATTATTCAGCACCTTCAATACTCCAGCTGCCACCTCCTCAAAATTAGATGGAAGAATAAATGATGCCTACAAAAGAATGGCCATTAAACTTATCCTTTTAGATACAACTATTAAAAAAATGAAATTTTTGAGCGTGCATCCACTCAATTCTCCTAAAAAATAGCAATATCATTGTCAAATCAATACAAAAAATAAAACCTACACTAAACTGTAGTGTTTATAAGTTATGAAAGAACACGGGTGGCAAAAACAAAAAGTTAGTGAATTGCTTGCTTTTTCTTGTTAGAACAGCAAACAGTTTGATAATTGCAAACACTCCTGGCACATCACAACCCCAAATAAAATGGTTGTTGAAGGCTCTCATATATGGATGCATGCCACCAAGTGGAACCCTTCATTCACACTAGGTTACTTTGATACATAATATACGAGAAAATCTATGAAAGAGAACTTACAAGGACAAGCTTAGAAGACAAGCAAAAAGAGAAATATCATCTCCACCATGCATTAGAATACAAGCGATGTGATTCGCAGCAGACTTACTTGTTCAGAGGGTGACCTATTATTCGCCTGTAGTAATACAGCAGTCAAAAGAGAAAGAAGACTGACAAGTCCTGTCTCAGAAAGAGCCGAAAGAAGATATGCCACACGTTGATCCAAGATTGATACTTTTTCATTTTTATGTGCAGCACCAACAATCATGCTTTTCTCATCCTTTTGGGAAACACAAGAATTGATAATATCCCCTCTTTGATTGTTCTTAGATTCATTGGGAACACCCGTAAACTCCCCATCAACATTCTTTAATTGAAGAGAACCATCAATCTGCCTTAATCCAGGAACCTCGTCAGTTGTAGGAGATCCATCACTCACATTAACCTTACACAATTCATCCAATGGTCTATCCTCAGGGACATCAGGTAAATGCATGACTGAGCTACCATTAATTACAGACAAGGGAGACCTGTAATCTCCCCAAGAGTTACTCGCCACAGAATGAATAGAATCTGCAACCTGAGCCCCTTCATTTTCAATTTTCTGTACCTTTACCATAGGAAAAGAATTCCAATCAATGGAACTTACTGTTCCATATCTAGAAGTCAAAGCCACCAAAAGATGTATGCTTAAAAGGATAGGGGTAGGAAATGATGATCCTTCCATTTGAGGCCTATCATGAAGTGCAAAAAGATCTCTTAGTCGATGAATAACTTGGTAGGAAATTAATAGCTCCAGCAAGCCATCCCGCATTTGAAGTTGTCTTTCTTCAGAACTTATATGACCAAAAATTGTGGAAACAGTCCACAAAAAATTATTTAAAATTTCAGAGATTAATTCAAAATTCTCAACCGATACTTTATTTGCTGGTAAACTTGGATTACCAGGAATATTTATAGATGCTGCAATTTTTATATAGTTCTCAAGAGCTGCTGATAACATTGGGATGATTGGTGGTAAGAAATTTTGTGCAAGGAAATAACTCCTATTTGCAGGTACAGATAGTACCACTCTCAGAAGTTTTGAAAGGTGCAATGTAACTTGACATGCTTCAGGCTTTGAAGTGTGGGAAGCAGGCAAGGCAGAAGCAATAAAATCTAAAAGTCCAACTTGACGAGATGCCTGCAACTCCGGATCCTTTCCCTCCAAATACTAGTTCACCAAAGAAAGGCATAAGCACAAGTTAGGAAGTCATCTAAACTAACATAATATGAATATGTTTAAAAAAAAAAGGCACAAAAAATAAAAAGACAAGACCAATTTTACCATATAAAGGTGTCAGAGACACTTAAATCGTAAGCGATATCCAAAAAAGGATGAACTCAATTAAACATTTAGTTAGGAGCAAAATGGTTGAGTAGAGGTCCATACAAGTCAATGATGCAGAATAATTGGTTAAAGAAAAACAGAGACCACATGCAATCATTAATATGAACTGCAGATTGACGTTAAGAAACAACTAGATACAATTGTTACTGTCAGCATACAAAGATCTAACCAAATGATAAAGTGATTCCCAAAATACGTTATTTTTAATTAGCATGGCATCCATAATTCATATTTCAAAGAGCGAACAAAAAATTTGGTGAAGACAAGCTTTCATCATGGTTCAAAGTTCTAGAAAATACTAAAACTACTTGGATCCAAAGATAAAAGGCCCTTTTTTTTGGCCAAAAATACCTTAATCATTTCAGCAATTATTAGCCCTATACTTGTGGCCCCTTCTTTTCTTGCCTGCCTAAGTCTTTGAAGTTCTTGAAGCCACCTGCCAACTTTTGCCTTAGCAGCATTCACTGCCACTCTATATCCAATGCCAGCACTTTCACCACCAAGAGAAGGCTCAAGAAATTCATGTTTCAAAGCCATAAGTCTTTGTCGAATTTTCTTAATTCTTCGCTTCATTGATTGTTGCAATGCGATGTTGCCAATTCCAAGAGAAGAACCTCCTGTGTTAGAGGTAATGTTTGTTTGAGGATCATCACCACTATTTGTTGTAGATCTACTTTGCCCAGACCGGCGTAGCAAAGGGGATGACTGATCCCTAAAATCCATAGAAGCCCTCTCTCGAATTTGCTCTAAGTACACCTTACGACGTTGTTCACTTTCACTAAGTCTCTCTGCCAGCTTTTGGGCTAAAAGTTCAGCTTCCTCTTGCTGGGCTTTGGCTCTTTCTTCCTTTCTTCGAAGCTGCTCAATAGCTCTTGCTTCACGTGCTGCACTTGATGCTTTTCTTTCCTCTTCCCTTCTAACTTGAGCCTCCTCTTTTTTTCGCTGTATTTCAGCAAGACGCTGTAACTTTTCAGCCTCAATGAGTTTTCGGCGTTCTAGAACAGCTTCTTCCCTTGCCAAATCCTCCTTTTGCTTAGATTTTATAACTTGCAGCTTTTCAGCTCTTCTCAACTCAGACCCATGAAGCTTTTGACGCAATATTAACTTTTTATTTTCTTCATTTAAGGAAGTAATAAACCGAACCTCATTTACCTTGCTACTCTCATCACCAGCTCTCTTCACTACTTGAGCTAGATAAGCTTCATGACGAGATTCACTGCGTTGATGACGTGCATACAAGCCCTCTCGTAACTTCATATTGCGAACAGCCTGCCATTCATTGACACGATTTAACTTTTCTGATGTACGTTGAAGCTTTTGTACTCTCTCATTCTCTAACTCACTTCTGATTCTCATAGCACGAGCATGCTTCTCTTCTGCCTCTTTTCTCAAGTCTGAAGTGGTTTTCTTCTTTTTGTCAGGAGACATTAATTTATCATGCAAGATACGTGCACGTTCAGCACTTTTCCTGCTTAAGCCTGGTGGGTATGACATACGAGAAGAGACACGGAATGGAGATGAGAGAATATCCTCCCAATTCCTTTTTTCCTTCCAAGCATTCATGGATTTTCCTGGAGCTACATTTCTCTTTTCCTTATCTTTCTCAGGTATAGGCATTTGCCTCCGGATATCATCCACCGATCTAGAAATTTTATCAGTAATACCTACCATTGGCACTTTATCTTTCTTTAGCTTCTCAGCTTCAGATTCAACATGTTCTCTTTTACTCTTGGTGGTTACAACAGCAGCCAAATTTTCCCTAGGATGTGAATTAGATAAGTTAACTTCTGATAATGAGCTCTTTGGCTGGCTGCTTTGTCGTTTTTGCTCTAAGATTGCTTTGCAAGGCTTTCCTGATTGAATATTATGCTTTCCTTCATTTAGATACACTTGATTAGCATCTAACAATCCAACCTGCTTTCTTGGCTTTGTCACTGGATCTGTGTGATTGCCAACAAATTCAGGAGTTGGACATTTAGACTTGACATTCTCTGCACTATTAACGGCTTGCAAGCTGGCACGCTCTTGTTGAATCTTTCTAAAAGCCTCAAGAGATGAAGACAGTATATCAGCCTTATGAGGTGATGATGTCATCCTTCGAACCTACAATCAAGACAAGACAACCAAGCAACTTAGAATTAGATAGCCAAGTGATTCAGGTTTGCCAGAGATATTATCATATGTGAAGCCAAAGGATTGACCACTCAAAAACAAACCAAGCAAGAACATAGGCAAAGAAAGACATCAGTTATTGCCTAACTCTATGCCATCTTTATATGTATTCCCTGGAGTCTAGAAAGTTAACTTCAACTAATGATAATCAGTCTAAACTATAACCCTAGCATCCATTGATAATATAATTCAAGTGATATGAAATTCATATACGCAAGTAATACTAGAAATAAAAATCCAATTATGTTATACATGCCATATAAGAAAGGAGGATTCCAAGGCACATTAACTCATAACCCTAACTGTTTACAGATTCATCATATGCATTGTGACTTCCATCCTTCTAGAGTCTATTATATGCTCTCTAAATATTCAAAAGACGGCACTTCTTCATCAAACCATACCATAATGCAATAAGAAAAAGAGAAAAGAGGAAAATGTGAAATCGATTCATACAAATTCTTCATCAAGCCATACCTTCTTGGTTTGATGCACATGAATAAACACAATCACCCTAAATGATAAGTAAAACAATCTTTAGAATAGATATTGTCAAAGGATTTGAGAACCTTTAAGAATAAAATTTTGTTTATCAAGATAAGGAGCAAAATAGAGATTATGCTTTTAATCTATAATTCTTAGAATTTTTATATCATCCAAATTTCCTAAATATATCAATTACAACTTGTTAAAGATTAACAACAGTATTTTAGCACCTCAAAATATCAACCTGAGCAATAGAAGGCAACAGACTAATACAACCAAGCGCACCTCCCATGAGACAGCATGTGTCCTGCGATGGTCACTCTTCAAGATGACAGGAACTCCATCAATTATTTGAGAAGACTTTTTAACTTTCTCAAATTCCTCAACTCTATTGATTAACTCTTTGAAATCAGATGCAGCCTCCTCAAGAACAAGAATTGCCTCTTTCATTTGCTCCAAATCACATTCCAGCTCACAAAGAAGATACAACTCATCAACAGACCTATTAAGATTTTCAAATAAAAAGCACCAAAGCCTTTGCCTAAACCGTTCTTTGCTTTCATTTGAGTCATCTTCTTCAAGAGCACTCATATTATGAGAGCTTGACAAAATCCCACCCACATTACCATTCTGTGTAACCCTAACATCTTCAACAGAAGTTACAGAATCTCCTACAATTTCAGGTCCACAATCAAGCACATGTGATGTACTCAGGTTGGTAACTGCACTAACTGAATGGCAGTTTGTTTGGGGCGCTTCAGAAATTCCAACATCATTCTCTATGTGATTATTAGTTACTACTTTGATGCCAGCATCATTTTCACTCTTGGAGTTCAATATATCATCTGCTTGATTGACTTCTTTCTCATTCAACAGTGGGATTTTTTCCAAAGATGTATCCTTAACTTCTATACCACTTGCTCCAGAAATCTCATCCTTACTTGCCAATGAAGGAATCTGACTAGAAGCCATGTCTGAATCAACAATCTTGGCCACTGGAACATTATCATTGGCATGAAATGAATCAGGAAGGGCTGCATCTAAAACACTATCAGTCTTTCTACAGTTAAGCATGTTATCATCTCCAATAGTACCAAACTTGATTCCAGCTCCACTCAAGTTTTCTTGAGGCATTGGAAAGCTCTCATCCTCTAGATCACCCCACTTAATTTTGTGGACTACTTCAGGCTTATTGTTTTGGGGTAATTTCTCAACAACTTCAAATCCACCTCTAGAATCATCAGTAGGTGACTTCTGACTCTGATTGTCATGTTTAACCACATTTGGATTAAGGTGACCTGTGCCCTCTTCCTCCTTTGACTCGGACATAGAATTTGTAATACTGCCAGAGTTATGTACAAAATTCTCCTCCATCCTTGGAAGATGTGATCGCAGCATGGCATTTGAATCTCTGTCATTTTTATCTATGGAACGCTGACTGTGCAAAGAATTAAAAGCATTTTTCCCTGAAAGTCCTCCAGCACAGCTCTGCAAAGAGGATTTTGAAGTATTCCGGTGTTTCTGGATAAGAAGCCAAGAAAATGTGGGGAAATTCAGTAACACTTGTGTTCAAGCTAAATCAGGAAAGTCCAAATTCGAAATCCAAAACTCTAATATAACAAAGATAAAGACAATGAAAAATAATATTGGATGCGGATGATAAAGAATGCATATCATAACCTCTGAACGGTTCACAGGAATAGAACAATGAAACATACCCGCAAATTATTCTAGCATTACTATAGTCATCTTGCCATGAACAAACGTCTCATAACATAAACCGGGGGAATAAAAAAACCTACACGATCAATTAACCCAAGTTTCGAACCAATAAATAAGCTTGAACACACATTCAGTTGAATCACGTAAGCCGAGCTCTTCATTTTTTTAATGCATAAATACAGAAAGACAGCTTTTTGATTTCGCTTGCCTTCAACTTCTTACTGAATGAACACCAAAAAAAAAATGTAGTAGAAGAATAACCTGCGACAAAGTGAGAACACAGAAAAGGCAGTTAAAAGGATTAAAATTTGCATTACAGAATATTTCAACAGCGGGTCAGGGATCACCTTTTTCACTTCGAACCATCCTGAGTTCTGATCATCCACTGCTTCATTATTTTCCATCCCAGTAATCAAGACAGTAAGAGACTAACAAAAGGGACTACATTCATCAAAATTCCAATTAACAAGAATGTGTTGAGTCCTCTTTGATGAACGATGCTGGAGGAGATTGATCTAATTGAATTGAGAATATGCTTCAAAGCTAGATTAAAATAATGCATCTCTACTCAAAACCGGGAAAAGACGGTTCCTGGTAAATGACAACCCACCCGACCTTCGATTAAGAAGTTCCAAGATGTGCAATTATTGGCAATTGAGAGTGCATGTGTATAAAAATCGGCAAAAGGAAGTGAAGATGATGAAGTCTCAAGCCATGAAAACGGGATTATTCTTGTTAGGGTTTTGGAGATGACAGCAAAAGCAGAAGGCTCACCGAAACTGCAGACAAAGGACTAGAATTATGTGTCTCTCCCCACTCCCCACAGCCCAACCTGAAATATAAAAAGCAATATATTAATTAATTGCGAAAATAGTCTAATATAATAAAATGCCTATCAAACTTCTAAAATTCTCTAATTCTCGCGCCGTTTGTCACGTGAAAGGAAGTTTTAAAACTTTTTTGGTTTTCCGGGGGTCCCAGAAAGGAAGGAAGTTTCAAGTTAGCAAGAGAGGAAAAGAATGGGGTCACCAATTGAGGTGAGTCTAATAAAAAATTAAAAAAAAATTAGTCTTTCGTAACATTTTATTGTATAGTTATAAATTATACAGACTAAATTTTAACAATTTGAAATTATTTATTTATTTTGTTGAGAGAAATTTAGTTCAACTGATAAAAAAATTAAATTAACTTATCTTATAATATTCAAACACTAAAATATACAGTCATATTAAATAAATATAATGAAAGCATTCCCAAAAAATGTGTGAAGCTATCGTTGTTATCATTGATGATGATGATGATGATGAGATGAGATGATGATGATGATGGATGATGATGATGATGATGATGATGAATGAAGAAGATGAAGAAGATACACAATAAGCTTTTATTATATAAGATAAAAAAGATAATGGGGTAGTTGAAATAATGAAAAACTTTATTAAAAGATAAAAGTATCCTACTAAAAAAAAAACTTTTATGATTGTCAAATATCATTCGTCAATTACAGTCTAGTCATTAAATTCAAGGCACTTGTAAATTTAAGAAAACTGCTTGAATACTACTCTACCTTCAATTATTCATGAGTTGTGACTCAATAAGTTATTTTTTTATTGTTGATTATTCACAAGAAAGATAAGATTTTATCATATCATCAGTAGTTGTTTTGTATATTAAAAGTCATTGTTCAAAATTTCATTTCTAATTGAAGATTAAAAAAAAAGAAATATTTCCTTCTTTAAAAAAAATTGTCAAACACATAAAATGGAACTTCCACTTCCACTTCACTACACTTTTTAAAATCTTTCTAGCTAGCTCTTATTTGCAGGAAAGTAGATCCCGTACACGTATATTTCACACACGCCTACCCTAACACACGTGACACGACAACCCACACATGTAACAGCCCGCACAACTGCTGCTATACACTTGATGCATTATCCCAATGGCAAAGTAATTCTCTTCACATAGGATGGAATTGTGTATTCAACACCCCCCCCAAAAAAAAAACGTTGATTTAGCCTCCTTTTTTTTTTAAAGACTCGCACCTTCACTTCTAATCTTCTCATTGCAAGGTGTCAATTGGGTTATTGGGGGGGGGGGAGGGAAATAAAGCCAGATATAATCCCAGGATACCAACAGATGGTTAAGATAGGTGGAAAGGATTTCTAAAATAAATTTGAGGGTTCAAATTTGTGAAGGGAAAAAACATGTTGGAGTTGTTCTTTATTTAAACCTAATTCTTGAACATGAATCAATTAATAATATTGAATATCTTTGCAAGTCTGTGCCATAAATATTAGCAATTGGATTTTAGCTTGTTAAAAGTTTTTTATTTTATGTCAATATTAATATCACTAATAATAGCTAGTATCAATACATTGATATATTGTGATCATAATATAAAATGAACAGCATGTACTACTTTTATAAAAAGTTTAAATGGCAATTCAAAACCTAAATTGTGAGTTCAAGAATGATTTAAACTTTAAACTCATGTTTGATACATTTTAAATTTTAAACAATTAAAAACGTTAGCTACTCTTGTTAGTAGTGGAACTCATCGTAACCAAATCGTCCTCTCTCTCTCCCCCCTTGTTCAATTTCTCGCCCTCTCTCCTTCTCTTCCTCCTTCAAGTTCTACCTGTCCTCCTTCTCCACTCTCTCTCCCCCTCTCCCTCAAGCTAAGAGTCAACACTTTCACAGTGAGCCAAACTGTGCATCTATACTCTACTCTTCGTTATTTGATAATGTTGGCAAGATTTTTCACTTTATCATCTTCCTTGGGCTTATTCTCGTGATAGATGTGTTTTTGAAGAAATTTTCTCTATTGTCACCATTCAATTCCCGGGTGCATTATTTGGGATGTTTTGTATATTTTATACTCTAGTGGTTTTCAATTATATCTTGCTGTCTGCAGCTATGACCTTGATGAAGTTCTTTGAATAGGTGTTTATGTTCATTTAAAGATAGCTTACATTGTTCTACATTTCATCATTGGCTGTCTTACATCTTTCTATTAAAGACATTCTCGCTACTCTTAGCATCAAGATTGGCTATATTATAAGTAGCTGCTTACATTTGCCTTATGCAACAATACTTAGGCTTATTGAAAGTTAGGCAAGCTCTCTTGCAGTTGCAGGCAATCACCTACTCACTTGAGCCATTTGCTTGCATTTCCATCAAGCAAGCCATGTTGATGTTCTGATTAAGGGGAGAAAGAAGGGACGATCAGGAGAGAGCGCAAGAGAATGGAGAAAGCACGCCATGTTGATGTTATCTTGGTTAAGAGAGAGAGAGGATGATCAAGAGATAGAAAGCAAGAGAAAGAGAAAGTAGAGTCAAAGAGAGAAAATGACCAAATAATAATAGGGCCCATTGGTTAGAAAATAACAAACAATTATCTTAGAGTAATAGTATAGGGTAATTGTTTCTAGATTAATCATTTAGAATTCAAAATATATTAAATGTAAGTTTAAGATTTAATTGTTCTTAGACTTATAATTTAAAATTTAAATTATCATTTAACCTTTATAAAATATGATCATCTTCACATACCTTTTTTTTAATATAGTATTAGAACAAAATAAAAAAAAGCCCGAATTATATTTCAATCAAGAGCTAGATAATAAATCTACAAAAAGAAATTATTAAGCTAGTCACTCAACCCAATCAAATTAAATGTGTGGCCCATTTTTTCCTTCTCCATCAAAAGGAAGAAATCTTGCCTTATTACATGATGCACCTAAACATAACCTATCTTGCTAATTTTAGCAATTCATGGCGTGGGGGGACTTCAAAGAATAATTCATTCTCTAAATTAAAATACTGCCTTGCTTGTTACTTTAATAGCATGTTCAATCTTCTTGTCAATGAGATTTGGCCATTTCTAATATTTTCTATAATGCCTCAACTTCTTAATTATTTTCTTTCACCTTTTCATCATTAGATTTCTATATAAATGAAAGTCATTTTGATATCTCATGATGACAAAAGGGCACAATTTTGTATTTTTTTTAATTTTTTTTCAAGAAAATACCCTAAAATTATGTAATTTTGATTTTTTTAAAAAACAATTAAAAAAATGCAAAACTATAATTTCATTACGGTAGCCTATTATTTCATGTAAAAGTTAATGATCTAATAAAAAAGATTAATTCAAAAGTTAACATTACAAAGAGTATTAAAAATATTGCTTGTTAATGTATTATTGAACATCCAATTCTTCTTGTAGGAAAGAAGATATTCCCTCTATCTTAAATTATAATATACTTTTGAAAGAGATTTGCCATCTCAAAATATAAGACATTTTGAGAATATTAATATTTAATTAAATAATTTTATTTTAATATTATCCTTTCTCTCTCTATTTAATACTAATTAGGTGTGGATTTAAAGTCATTAAATGAAAAGTTTATATTTTTATTTTAAAAAAATAATTATTAAATGTATTTAACAAGAGTTATTAATATATAAAATTTTATTTAAAAATATTTTATAATTTGAGATGGAGAAAGCATGACAAACCATGTGAATGACTTTCCCAAATTGAACTTGCGTGATCCACATGGGGGATCCATTTTAATTTCTCTTCCATACATACATATAATATATATATATACACACACATACATACATATATTAGTTGTTAGACATGGTTGATGAACAAATTCATTTGTGGTAGTACGGCATCAATTCATCATAAGATTATCAAACTTCAAAGCAACATGTGATCTCGACATGGTGAATTTATATGCCCGACGCAACTGCACCACTTAGGAAATTGGACCACACTAATTGCTATATTCTCGTAATTTTTTCCCACATCAGTGTGTGGTTTTGTTTGCTCTTATCGTAATTAATTTAATGAGCAGTCTTGTTCATCCGATTACTGCACAAAATCTCCGCAGGAAGCTATTGTCTCGGCTTTTGATTTTTTTTTTTTGACCAGAAGGATAATTATCATTAAAAGATGCCAAAAACAGTTAACCTCATCGATGATTTTGTGTGCGTTAAAAAGATTCCAAAAACAATTCTTGTGTTTCACAAAGGTTGAACCAGGTTCTTTAATTTGTTCTTATCGCCTCCAGATTTGAAAGTGAAAAGACAAGCATGCGTTAATTGACTACCACGGAAAAAATAAATATTATTATTTTTGAGAAAAAAATACTTCCCTTACTTAAAAATATAAAATATTTTTAATTAAATTTTATATTTTAATAAAGTAGTTACTTACTTTTAAATTAATTATATTTTTTTATATCTTCTTCTATTAAACACTCTATAATAAATATAAAGTTACTATTAAAAGGTATACTTTTGAAAAAAATAATAATTACACTTCAAAAGATTAAAAATGCTTTTCATTTTTTAACATCTAACTTTTCAAAAAATATCTTATATCTTTGATTCCTTAAACAGCGAGACGGGAAGGAATATGCTTTTGTGTTATATGCATATAATCTCATATCAACCTATATTAAGATTAAAAATGCAAAACGGAATGTTTGTTTTCTGTTTTAAAAATAAAAAATTATGGAACTTGTGTGAATAAGTATTTTGAATTCAATTATCTTCACAGTTGTTTTCATTTTTAAAAAATAAAAAAACTTTAAAATCATTTTAATTTTATTTTTCTTATTTTCAAAATACACTCCATTTGATCAATGAAAAGTATAATTAATTTGACCAATTTTTATCATAAACTATTGTCATTAACTTCTTACAACCATCACTATTAGTTTATTTTTTAGTTTTAAAACTGTTTTTAAATTAATGTAATCAAATAGATTTTTATTTTGTTTTATTTAAAAAATTCTGAAAATTATATTATAAGACAGTTTCAAAAATAAAAAATAAGAATAAAAACCAAAAAGGCCCTGATAATTCTTCTTTAATTTCTCCCTGGCTTTCCTTTCATTTCATTTTGATCCTTTTAATTTTTGTAAACTGAGGTTTTCAATTTCAAAATGATAAATCCAAGCCTTGTTTGGTTTTCAAATGAAAAATAAAATCTTAAAGTATGTAATATTTGTTATTACTATTGTTCGATAGTTCCCCTATGACGCCTTACTTTATTTATGAGATTACTATTGTTCGATAGTTCCCCTATCACGCCTTACTTTATTTATGGGCATGTTTTTTTTTTATTTTACAAATTTTTATTTTAATTTCATTCTTCGTACAACTCTACATGTGAAAACGGACTTTAAAATGTGTGTAAGGATTAACTTGAATGGTAAATTTTACCTGATATGTGAGACTTCCGCGAATAATGTTTTTTTTTATACATCGGAATAATGTCCGGACATTGAAATACTTTGTCGCATCAAAAAGAAATCAGAGATTATGTTTCATTTCACTATCTCAATAATATATACGTCCATAAACTAAAAATATTTTGATTCACATAACATCACATTACTAAAAATAATTTATCCATTGGCTGGAAAAAAGAAGCCCACCGCCCCGGGGGGGGGGGTGTTTCCAAGCTGCCGTGATCCCCCAAGTTTTCTCAATGGGGGATCTTTGAATTTATTAGGAAAATAGTGGTGAAGGGCCGTTCAAAAAAATTCATATTAAATAAGGATTAATTATTATTAAAATTCAAAGCCTGAATTGATTGTTATTAGTTTACAATAAATTATTATTAAAATCTAAATGAATATTTACTAATAAAAGATTAACCTAAATCGATAACTATCCGTTCAAATTTTGATAACAAGTAATAATTTTTAATTGATATAAATTTTTTTCAACCATCCTTAATTGATATCTTCCCAATTTATTAATTACTCTCTCTTATCTAAATAATATTATTAAAAAAATGTAAACCAATAAAAGAAGAGGAGGTGTTTTGTTATTTGCAAGTTATAAGAATACCATTAAAACTATAAAGATAAAAATAGAATATTATTTTATATTTTGCAAGACATCTTATAATCAAGACCACTCTTTATTTCTAACATATAAGTAGTAAGTTAATTTCAATATCTGGGGCGCGTCTATCATGATGAAATTTTGGAAATGAAGAAAATTCCACAAGGAACAAGAAAACAACTTTGATCAACAAATGCAAGGGAACGTCAAATTTCACCATTCAAAGGTTTGAAACCCACAAAGCGATTGATCCATATTGGTAAGATTTTTCCATATCTATACTTATTAACGTAATGGCCCCACATCATCAAGGTTGGACAACTAAACTAAAGAAGAATAATAACCCCGCTCAAAAAGTTGTATTTTTTTAATATTAGTTTTATATCTCAAACATTTCGTTTATAAAAAGATAAATATTATTCCATCTGGAATTCATGATATAGAAAATTTCTGGCGATATTGCGCATATTAAAAAAATTCATTGTTTTTCTAAACATTATGAAAAAGTTGACTTTTTTTTTTCCATCTTTGCCTTTATTCACAATTTTTCATGTATGATTATTCAACGCACGCTAATAAATACAGGAGTAAAAATAGAAATATATCTTTCTAAGGATAAAGGATCACAGCGAGGGGATGGAATTAATACGTAAAATTTCTCGCTCAAACAGTTTTAGAATTAAAATGATTATAAATTACAAGTTGCAAGGCATGGGACTGTATTAGGTCAAGTGGTGGGTATTCAAATTTGGAATTTTAGTCAATCATGGAGGATCAAACCCAAACCACTTGCTGGAATAAAAAGCAAAGGAGAGATACGGAATAAGGTTCTGGTCGAACTAGGGAGGTTTTATCTAGCTTCTACCCAAAGGCAAGAGACACGCTGCAATAATAATAATAATAGTCAATTAATCATAAATTTACAGTCCCTTTATTGCTTTCGAGCCTCAAAGAAAATTTCTTACTATTTACTATTTTCTTTCCGTGCCTCATTCTACACGTACCCTCCTATCTTTCCTTGGAAAGAATTGGTAGTTCAGTTCTGCCTCTCTCATCACCTAAAAGCGATACTTACTTTGCCTTTGCCACCAACTCAGATTGATAAGCGACGTCTAATAATTGGAAGCTCGCTTGTGAGTTGTTACCCATCATGACAACGAAACCACCCATCCGTTAAGTTTCGCCTTTAGCATTAGCTGAGCTTGTATACTCGGGCCAACACATCTGAGACAGGTTTATCCGGCCCCCGCTTCGTCCGTCTCACCTAACGGGGAAATGTGGTCCTTTTTCATTTTCTCTGGCGCCTCTGAAACGTCGGAGTGGTAAATGCCTCGTTGTTTAGCAGTAAAAGCACCTACTGGATTGGCATGTTATGTCAGGCAGCATCCTTGGACTTGCGCTTGAGTATTGTCGTTAATGGTGGTGGATTGAGATAAGGTTGGGTTTGGATTTGCCTTCCTGGGTAAGTCTTGTATTTCAGGAATTACATCTGGGTGTTCTTCTAGTATAGTAATTTCCATGTCTCGTAGTCTGCTTTTGACTCATGTCTTCTGGATCCATATTGTTCTCTTATTTGCGGAGACTTTCTTTCTCATCTTTTTCCTTTCCTTTTCTTTTTACTTCACCTGTTGTCTGGAGATGTGGTTTTGAATCTTATGATTGACAGCTCTGGTTTCGCGTACGCAGACGGCTGGTGAGAAGCTAGTTCATCTTATCCGTTGGACTTTCAGTTCTTAGATCTGGTGTTGCAATTGTCGATTCACTCGGTTTATCTGAGACTTGATGGAGTTCGTTTAGCTTATAGTAATCCGTTAAAACTAGTGAATTAATCGTCATTTTGCAATTATTGGGTCTCTTGTTCTTTCTCACTGGCAAAGTTGCATTTGAAATTTAAGCTGAATTCCCTGTGGAGATTAATCTGTGACGGTTTTTAATGGAAAAGGAATTTAAAAAGGCATAGTTTAAATTTTTGAGTTCTGGCTATCACTTTGAATTCAACTTTACCGTTGTTATAATTCTAAATGTGACGGGTTTAAATAAAGATGATTAAGATCAATTCCTGCAACCAGATATTATAGTGTCGTTTGCCATACAACATCTCTCTCTCTCTCTCTCTCTCTCTCTCATGTTCACCAGTTTTATTAATTTCACATGCTGACTTCGGCGATTATAAGCTTGATTTCTTATTTCCAACTTTATGAAATGAAAAATTGCAACTCTGTGGTTGCAGAAAACCTGCCTGTAACTAAAATTGCATATTTATAACTGCAGGTAGATAAGTAGACTTGGATGCTCTTGTAAACTGTAACCGATCCAACAATGGGATTCCACATCGCCTTATTTCTCTTCTTGGCTTTCTTTCGAACGACTTTAAGTCAAGAAGTTATGCATGCTTCAATTCTAGTTAATGGAAATCAAGCTAAAGCTGAAACTGATGAGAACTTCATTTGTGCTACTATTGACTGGTGGCCTCATGACAAATGCAACTATGACCACTGCCCTTGGGGATATTCATCTGTCACTAATTTGGTGAGTATTTTGAAACTCATTTCTATAGAACATCAAATGAAGAGACCAAACACAAATTTGAATTACCCATTATGAGATTGAAGCCGGAGAAGTATACTTAGTCACTGTTGAATATGGATTGGTTTTCAGGACTTGTCTCACCCTTTCTTCGCCAAGGCAGTACAAGGTATGTATGCAACAGCCTATCTCACTCGATTTAATGATTCTCTAGTGTGTTTTAGATTTGACAAATTTCCATATGTAGCTTTATGAATAGTATCAATTTGGACCAATTATTTAAGCATGATGCTAGCCTTTTGATACTGGTTGTCTAATAGCTCTCAAGCCTTTGAGAATAAGATTGGGAGGTTCTTTGCAAGACCAAGTGCTGTATGATGTAGAAACTTTGAAGGCGCCTTGCCATCCCTTTCAAAAGATGAAAGGTGGATTATTTGGATTTTCAAAGGGATGTTTACACATGAAAAGGTGGGATGAGCTGAATCATTTTTTCAATGAAACAGGGTGAGACTTTCTTTAAACATTGAGAATCGTTTTTTTTTTTACTTCACTGTTCCCCCCCCCCCAACTTCATTGAGCCATAGATTAAAAAAAAAAAATAAATCAAATACGCCATTTGGGTATGTAGTATACTTCAAGTTTATAAGACTATACCATTGTGATGTCATGGCTATCATTTGAGCAAGATTTGCTATAAGTACCTATATCCCTATTTGTTAACGGCTGAAGGGGATAGCTCTTTTTTCCCTAATAATAAATCGAGTTAGACATTCCTCTCTTGGTTCTGGAGAATTTCTTTTTACATTGTCAGTTATGTTCTTATCCTAAGTGTGGAAAGACTCTTTCCATTTAGTAGCTTATTCTAAGAACATGCCCTTAAGCATCATTATCTTTAGTCAGAGTCGTTTCTCTAGTGGCATCATTATGCTGATTAATATTGTGACAGGGATGGCAAGAGTTGAACTCCATACGAGCCACTAATAACGGATTCATGCTTAGGAACTCATCAACCTAAAGGAATTCGAATTATTTTATATACATAGCAGACAAAATCTGATTTGAGTTTTTTGTCCACTTGCAATTTTTAACGAGTAACTTCCCTTGTTTGTTATCATTTACGAATGAGTGTATGTGCATGTGATTTTAAATACTATTCATGTTTCATATTGCAGAGCCATTGTGACATTTGGCTTGAATGCACTTTATGGGAGGCACCAAATCAGTCACAATGTTTGGGGAGGAGATTGGGACTCTAGTAATGCTTATGCTTTCATTAGTTACACAGTCTCAAAGGGATATAAAATCGATTCATGGGAATTTGGTAGGAACAACAACGGCTGCTTGTAATATTCTTTTTTTTTTTTTTTGGGTTTCTCTTGACCTAAATCTTGCATACTGCAGGTAATGAGTTAAGTGGTAAGGGCGTTGGTGCAAGTGTTGGTTCTGCACAGTATGGAAAAGACTTGATACGCCTTAAACAAATTTTAGATATATTATATGAGCGATCTCGGTTCAAACCTGCACTGGTAGCACCTGGAGGTTTCTATCAAAAGGATTGGTATAATAATCTACTACAGGTTTCAGGTGCAGGAATAGTCAATGTTCTGACTCATCACATTTACAATTTGGGCCCAGGTTTGCTTGACACTTGCCTAATACTACTACGACCATTCTTGCTGAATCTTCTTGTTCTAACCATGTCTATATAATTGATTAAGTGGAAGCAATTATATGCAAAAATTACTCTATACACAATGCATTTATTGTTCTCAGTTTCATTTCATGTAACTCATGCCTCTTGCTTTTTTTGTTCTTATTTTCTAAAGCTGTGAACTTTTCCATGTACTGAAAAATATGGAGGCAAATGATGTCTTTTGAATTACAAGTTGTCTTGTATCAGATATTATATGTTATATTTACTTGCAGGTAAAATGAAGTTGTCTGTTCTTCCTAATCAGAGTTTGTGATCTCATTTTCAGGCAGTGATCCAAATCTAGAAAAGAAGATTCTAGATCCAGGGCATTTGAGCAGCGTAGCATCAACATTCGGCAACCTTTCCGAAAGCATTGAAAAAGAGGGCCCTTGGTCTTCTGCATGGGTTGGAGAAGCTGGTGGGGCGTACAATAGTGGTAGTCGTTATGTTTCTAGCACATTTTTAAACAGCTTTTGGTAATGTTTTTTGTCCATTTGCCCGATTTTCTGTTCTTCATTTTTTGTAATGCTAAAGAAAGGCTTGTCATATTCATTTATCTAGGAATTATTTGTCATTAATTATAAGTTCATTTATTATTATAGGTACTTGGATCAACTTGGAATGGCATCTACCTACAACACCAAAGTCTATTGTAGGCAGACCTTGATTGGAGGCTACTATGGCCTTCTCAATACAACCACTTTCACTCCCAATCCTGACTATTATAGGTAAGTGTCAATTGATAATTCATGAAAGTAATGTGGAGTTTATGCACTTCTTATGGATCGTTGAAGAGTTAGAAGTTAGAACAACTCATAAAATATACTCGCGGAACATATCTAATCCAAGGTTCTGATTTTGTTTCTGAATAGTGCACTTTTATGGCAAAGGCTTATGGGAAAGAAGGTTCTTCAGGCTTCTAGTGATTCTTCTTCGCCTTATTTGCGCACTTATGCCCATTGTTCAAAGGGAAGAGTAAGTATGCTAACTTTAAAAATTTGTCGCTTACTCATAAGCTAAGAGGGATCACTCAATTTGAACAGATGGGTCTGTCATGCTGCTTGTTGTAAAAGAGAAATTCTTACATCTACTCCTTTCTGGCTTTTCACCTAAGATAGATTAAGGAGCTGACAGAAGCTCATCCAATCTATAAACCCCATTACCTGAAACATTTGTTTTTGTGGATTTTAATTGGTTCTTTGCACCTATCCTGCGTGCAATGAGTGTACTAAGAATTTTCCAAGAAGAAATAAGGCTTTTCTTGCTAAACTGAGTGGGAGAGCCTTTTCTTTTCTCTCTTAATACCTAAATGTCCACTATCTTATTTTCAACATATTGAAGATTACTTAATCACTTTAATATGAGGAAAATGCTTCCGTGATTCTGATGAGCTTCTTGGTATTTAGATACTAAGCATTTAAAGGCTCCATTTGCTATTTCAGTTGTAGCCTTCCTCATATTATTCTCATTGTCATTTCTATCTATGATCTTCTCCAGGATGGGGTGACAGTACTGTTGATCAATTTAAGCAATCAGACTAATTTCATTCTCACTGTTCAAAACCCTGTGGCTGCAAACACTGGAGGAACCAGAGAGATGAAAAGCATCCACAGAGAGAACTCTTTCACTTATCATCTCAAGAAGACATTTTCCTGGGTTGGAACCAAAGGATCTCATGTCACTTTCAGAGAAGAGTACCATTTGACTCCAAAAGATCGAGATTCCCGAAGCCGTACCATGTTGCTGAATGGCATTCCAATACAGCTGACAAGCCAAGGAGACATTCCAAATTTGGATCCAGTGCGCAAAAATGTACAGTCTCCCATTTATGTGGCTCCTCTGTCCATTGTATTTGTTGTGTATCCAAACTTTGATGCTCCAGCTTGTGTTGGGAACCAAAAGCATTAGTTGGAGGTTTCTTGAATCTTGTACACTAGGACCTCTAATTGTAAGCTCTTTGTAATTGTAAGTAGTGAGCTTTTGTCGTCTTCATTGGGAAGTTAGAAACTTTTCAATAAATTACTATGGGAGAAACTGAAGTTGTATCATCAGGTTTTATATATTGATGCAAATAATCAAGTTTCAATTGAAGTCTGATAAATATTTGTTACATTTTGTTGTACCTAAAGACAAAGTTGTTTATTTTTATGATTATTATTATTGTTGTATGTGTGTCAAGTGTGTGTGTGTCGAAGTCCAACATTGAATAAAAGAAGGACTTTCCTAATGTATATATACTAAGGAATGATATAAGCTAATAAAATGAGTTTGGAGGAGATAAATAATTATATTTAGCTTACTTTGATAGTTTTTTTGGTAATAAACCTCTTCTGAAAACTGATTTTGTGAATTAATGTTTTAAATGTTTTGTCTGTCAAATGTCTCCAGATTAATGGACGTGTGTAATCAAAGCATTAATCCATGTACGTTTTTGCTGTTTAAGATGTGTGTGACCGAAGCATTAATTCATGTATGTTTTTGCTATTTAATGTGTGTGTGACCAAAGCATTAATTGGTGATTATAAGCCAGCGTTTGTGTCTCCATCTTCAAGCTATATATAGCCCCTGGGTGCTGACAGAAAACGGTAACTACTCTTGAGTTTTCAGAGTTCTCTCCTCCCTCTGCCTTTTGCTCTTGTATTTGTCTGTGTTTGCTTTTAGTCTTTGTTGTTCTGTTTCCTTACTTCGCGGGAGGTGTTTGTTTAATCCTGAAGAACTATCGATCATCGGAAGGTATGTCAGAATAGTTCTTAAGGATAATGTCCTTTCGAGCACGACTCAAGTAGTTCATAGTTCGCCATTCACGTCTCCCACCAATGCCGACAACAATTATTACCTAAGCAAAGTGGGGTTTCTGATAGTTTATTGTGGGGATTTGAGAAGTTTGCTTCCACTTGTGTCAATATGGAAGTAGTTTTTGGTTGTCATTTTTCCAAAAAAGATAATTTGTAACATGATATAAGAAATTAGTCTAAAATCTAATAAAAAAATGAGAATTACACCAAATTACAACACAATTAAATGTCACAAGATTTATTAACAACTAAGTATAGGAAAATAATAATTGGATCTAAATGTAATCCTCCCATAAAAATATTGTATTACATGACTTGGATTATTTATTTTTTGGGTTCGTACTCCAGTGACAAGTGCATGTATCTTATTGTTTTTGGATAGTTTAATATTTCACATAGTGATTTTCTAAAAAAAAAAACAATCAATTTGCTATTTTAAAATCAATTGGCCTACAAATACAGTCAACTTTCGGGAATTTAAATTAAATTCGAGATGTCATTATATCAGAAAGCTGCAAATACAAATCCAAAACCAAAATGTTATGCATATATGGACCAAGTTAAAGTCGATAAATTTTCTAAATTTTTTGATGATTTGTTTCTAGCCTTACAGTCCAAATTTATTTCACTGTGCCGATGGACTGCCTGAATTCAATGTCGTCATTTATTTTGGCACCCAATCCCATCTCTCTTTCTCTCTCTCCCTCTTTGCTTTTTTTTCCCCCCGGTTTGTGTGGGGAGGGGGGGAACTATAAGTCGGTATTCGCCAGAGGGTAAAGTGGGTATTCGCCGCTTCATACCACTTACCCACGCAACAATCCTGAAAGCAGAGAATCTCCGGAAAAATGGCGTCGTCTGCTTCAGCTTTGCGACCATCGAAGGCCGATGTGCTTTCCCTCTTCCGTTCTCTCCTCCGCGCGGCACGCCAGTTTCCCGATTACAACATCAAGGCATACACTAAGCGACGAACCATTGACGCCTTCCGCCATAGCCAAAAGCTCTCGGATCCTTCTTCCATCGCTTCCGCTTTATCCGATGGTAAGGCTCAACTGGAAATCGCCAGAAGGCAAGCGACCGTCTACTCACTCTACGCCCCAACTGTCAGGAGTATTATGGAGATGAATTGCGAGTTCACATACTAGGATTCGGGGTATTAATTTATCGCCATCGTATTACCTGCTATGGGGTTTGACCAGGTTTGGGATTCAGAGAGGCTTATTAATGTATGCTCTTTATTTATGGATCGTAACATACAGACCAGTTTTTAATATTGACCAGGTTTATGATTGAATGAGAGAGGCTTATCAATGTATACGCATCACTTATGGATCTTAATAATATAGACCGGTTCTTATTGTTGGCTTCTGCAATCCATCTTGCTGTCTGACTTAACTCTAAATGTGAATTGATGGCGATATTCGAATTTTTATTCTTTCTTTGATAGATTGCTTTTGTTTTGTTTTGTTTTGTTTTTTTTTTTTTTTTTTGGGTAATCGATTAACTTGAACGGCAAGGGAATGATTTCGGCCTTCGGTAGGAGTTGACATTCCTTCCTTACTAGATAGAAGAACAAAAGTCGGAACTCTGGTAACGTGGAACGAAGTTGGTTCTAAGTTCATATTGGATTGGCGTGGTGTGATCGTTGGAAATTGGATGCTTGTTTTGACATTAGATTCGAATTTATTGATTCATCCTCTGACTTCCTACTACAGAAGGACTGGTATTGCATCATATCATTTGACACTAATTTTTTCAACATCAATGTGTAGTTCAGTGTATCGCATTTTAGAGTTTGGATTCAATCATCATCTTAAAAGGGAATATAGCTGGAGGATAGAAGAGCCTTCTACATGGGGAAGTTCCAAATTACTTCAGAAGATTAGTCATAAATCCCAGAAACGCAGGGGAAGTTTAATACTTTAATTAGTTGCGCATTTAAAATTGAGCAGACTAAAATCATATGTATTGAAGAATTTGTCTTATTAATGCCAAGAAAAAGAAAACAGCAGCGAAAAGTAAGTAATATTAAAGTTTGGAAATGGATCTTGATAATTCTGCCCTCTATTTTCCGAGTAAACGACGACCACGCTGGTTAGCACCCTTCATGCGGAAATTCAACTCATCCACATCACCGTACATATGGTCTATGGCCTTGTTTTGCCTGAAACAGCACCGACATTACCAATAGATAAGCCAAGTGTAAAGTCGATGCTTGTGTAAGATCCCAAGTAAAAGCTGAAGCTTAGACTATCGCTTTGTTTTGTAAGGAGAGTGCAAAAGATTTACAATTAGATAAACAAGTAATCAAACTAACTAACCTCTCAATTTCGGATCCCATGTCAACAGCCATTTCTTTCAGCTCTCCCAGGATATCACTTAAATTTGACAGAGCATCATCTTGCTTTCCCGTCTCAAACTGTTCAATGACACGTATTTAGTAGACAATTATGGAGCGTATTATCCCATTTGGACGTATAATGACTAAACATTGTTGGTGGCTAATGGGAGTAAGATCAACGAAGTTGCCAAAACATCCGTAGTTGCTAATGAAGAATGTTTATCAGGACATGTAACCAGCCAATGCAACTAAAAATTATAGTAAGAATCCATTGATTTATAACTCATCAAGGGCCATTGACTTTTGGCGTGCTCAGCTAACTTTAGACAATAGAATAATGTTCATTAGATGATACGAACCTCAACTCTTTGAAGGGCATTTGTTGGTTCAGGAGGTGGTGTCCGTGGCTTTGACTGCCCTCTTGGTGCAGAACTCAATCCCAACTTTTCTCTCCGCTCCAAGTGGCTGCCCTTTGTTCTGACTGGATCGTCTGTATTATGAAGTTACATATAACCACATATTAGACATGACACATACATGTATAAAGTAAGCGAAGGGGAAAAAGGATAAAACCTCCAACTATAACAGGGCCAGTTATTTGGCGTGTCTTCTTTGGTTTCCAAGTTTTGGAGAACATGCCACCCAGGCTTCCCAAGAGCTTTTCTCCCTGTAAAATACAGCTACAGTTCAGTCAATGCAGTCCCGAAAGCCATTGGAATTTTCTTTACAGAGGGCAGTATAGAAAAAGATATTTTTTTTCTTAAAGGTGATAGGGCATCAAGAATTAAATAACCCATGAAAAACGAGGTTGATTACCCGGCTTAGATCCTGATCAATGTCAACAGCAACATGGTGAGTCCTGGTAATCTGCTCTCCTTGTTGATGCAGGGTGACTAAAGTCTTGGTAGCATCCTCTCTCATGTCCTCTGCTATCTTCAAACAATTGTTAACTGATTTAGTAGTCTCCTCAGCCTTGTAAACAGCATAATTCTCCAATTCTTGCACCGACTGATTTTCCATTCCTCCGGAGTCACGAAAATCATTCTTATACTTGTTTCGTTCTGCTGATCGAAGGGCATAGGAAGATAATGAAGAAGAGTTCCCATTTACATCATAGTCATCAAAAGGATTGGTGTTGACTTCTTTTGTCACCAGTGCAGGATCTGAAGAACTCCTCCTAGAAGAATTATGATTTTTGCCATTCTTTGCTAAATCATCAGAATTAAACGGGTTTGATTTAGAGTGGACAGGATAGACAGGATCAGCAGAATTGTGTTTTGCAACTTTCAAAGGAGATTTCTTTGAACCAAACATTCTCTCTCTTCAAGTCACCACTAAGCAAGCACGCTTGCAGAATTTGGTTACAGGTAGATGAAGGTGAGCGGGTAAATGAATCTAAGAAGAAACAATGTTCCTAAGTAAGTTGAACGCAGATCAATTTCTCCCTGCAAAGACAAGCAAGAATTGTTCAGACACTGTCGATGTAGACCAAAAGCAAATAACATAACATCAAGTTTAAGGAACTAATTACGAATCTGTTAATCTTCTTAGGCTAAAAGAAACCTTCTTGTATCAATTAAGGTTTAAGTTTGATAAAGTTGCTTACGACGAAAGTCAAAAGACGAGGAACTAAATATTTCAGATTAACGTATTCATGAATGATACAAATCATTCATAAACACAATCTCTAAGCCAATAGGAAGAAGGAGGCGTTAAAACTTTAACAAACTGACAACATGACTGACACCCTATTTGGTCCATTTGGATCGTCAGAGAATGAAAGAAGAAAAATATTTGGGGAGGTTTACAGGAGAATCAAACGCCTAAGAAATTGACCATTAGGTGATCATAAAGAACACCAGAAGCCCTTCAAGAAACCCCAGGGGGGGGGGAGATATCGAGAGACCCAAATAAATTATGGGCTTCATACTGTAATAGAATCCTAAAAATTCAATAATTGTCGAAGAGAAAGTAAATGAGTACCTGGAGAAACCCAAAGAATGCGCAGAAAGAAAAACTCGAAAGAACTCCGAGAGGAGAAGTGAATACCCAACAATTTAAAAGCCTTCGAATCGCAAGAGGGAGAAATAGGTGTTGGGAGAACAAAAGGGACTATTTCAACTGAAAGAACCGGCAATAGAAACTGTGCAAAATCGCGTCAAGAAAGAGGGGTAGGAAACTGCAAGGAAAAAGATAGGTGGAGCGAGTAAATGCAAAGACAGTATTTTATATTATTTTTTGACGTGCTTTTGGAATTGGCACAACACATTCACATCCGCTCTGAAAATTTGCCATTGCCGTTGTTTGGATTTGATCACGATCATATTTGAATGAACATCAATCAAGCGTGGACGAAATTTATGATTTATTATCTTTTGTATGTGGGCCATGTTGCAAGTTATTTGATTCAGACCGAAAAGTCGAAAACCATATGACTTTGTCAACTCTTGGGCTTAATTATATTTTTTTTATCATTTATCCCACGCTATTTCGTTTTAAAAAATGACAATAAAAAATTTTATAAAATGTATAAATAGTAATATAATCTTTTAAAATATCATAATTCTTTTAAAATCCTTAAAAAAATTTTTTATTATTGATAAATTTATATAAATTATGAAATTAACTTTATTGAAAATAAATGATTTAAAAGTTTTATTTAAATATTCATAATTTTCTTTCTTAAATTCACAATAATGCAAAAGCAAATAAGTAATTAACATGTAAAATTATAATTTACTATTACATTATTATAAATATAAAAAAAAACGTTGTGAATATTTAAATAAAATTTATAAATTATTTATTCTTAACAAGAATAATTTGATAACTTATATAAATTCATTAATGATAAAAAATTTTTAAAGACCTTGAGGGAATTATTGAATTTTGAAAGACCAAATTATTATTTATACATTTTTTAGAAATTTTATCTTCATTTTCTCCTCCCTTCTCTCATTTGCATTTTGTGATATATATATATATATATATATGTTTTTGTATCTTATTTTTCATAAGAACATTCCGGGCAATTTAAAAATGTTGCAGGCTATTATTGACTTACTATTTACATGATTTTTTTTGGCCAATCACTATGTTACATCGTTGAACGATTAAATATTCGGTCATCTTCATTAAAAAAAAAAAAAAATTCATGCATCATGCGGACAAAGATGTCACCAACTCCAAGCTCAGCAATGGTTTTTTATGGTAAATGACTAAATGGAGCGTTGACATTAATATATGAAGTGAAAATTTTATCACAAATTCTACTGTGATGTCTATATGTATACAAATAATATAATATAATGTATGCCTTTTTTTTTAAATCATGGATAACTTAAATATATTTAATTCTAATATATTGATATAGATATATGTGAACAGAGAAGAATTTTTTTATTTCAATACACTTGCATAGACACACAGTTATCCACACATCCAAGCATGCAGATGCGAACAAGTAATATATTGTTTGAACTTAAATTTAGGTATTTAAAATAATCAGAAATGCTTTCTGACAAAAAATCCAATATCCTTTAAATGAGATCGTAGATTCAAACAATTGGGTCCAGATCCTCTTATTGTTGCCTTTCTAAGTGGCTCTCAGAATCTTCAAATCCACTATATCCAATCAATCAGTTGGTCCATAATATGTCATGTCATAAGAATTTTAAAAAAGAAAAAAATGACAATAAAGTGGAACAAAAATGTGTTAATTATATGCTCACAAAATTTTCTTAAAAAATTATCGAGAAGCATTTAATTCAACTGATCAAAAAAGTTAAATTGATTTATTCTAAAATATTGAGTTTGAATTTTAAAACATGTAGTTACGCAAAATAAATATGATAAATATATTTTCAAAATGCGCATGAGATTTCTGTTGATAATAATGATCCTATACAATAAGAGTTCAAATTAATGTGAATAGGATTTAAAAATACCCCAAATTTCTCAAGATACCAACAAACACAAATCCTAATTATAACTATCATTAATTTCTTTCTTTTTTTTGAGAATTTTACTGTCATTTTTTCTTTTTTAAAATCCTTATAATGTGGCACATTGTGGCATTAACGCACAGGATTGTGGCATAAGAAAATGGACAACGAGAGGATCTGACTCCAGATTGAAACTTGTATTGTAAATGAACCAAAGAAGATCAAATAACAAAATCAGACTTAAAAGTCAATCCTGCACAACAGACATTCCCATCCTTGCAAAAAAATCTCGAGGCATCAGCTTACTTCTATTGCCAGAAAGAAGAGAGAGAGAGAGAGAAAACGAAAGCAAGCTCTCTCAGGAATCTGTACAACATTTCAACATATTGACATCAGTTCTCGCACCCCATGTCACCAAAAGCCCTCGCAAGAGGCAGTTCTTTCTTCTGTACAATCACTTCGTTTTTCTTTTTGGGGTTTGAAATGAATCTCTTCGAACCAAGATATGAGAAGAGATCCTACATCTCTCAGTTCATCTGTCCAGAATACAATAATTTTGTCAGCAGGATATCATGTAGAGCAATTAACAACGCAATCCTTGAGTAAGAATAGCATTCATGTCTGTTAAAGACTTTAAATAGACCGTGTGAAATAAATAGGCACAAACCTTTAAGATGATTTTCTTCTAATGAACTCGAAGAACTTTGAACAATGCCAGTCTCTACGTTTCAGGAAGACCGCTGACAGCAAATAAAGATTTTCCCTGTTTTCTTTGAAGCTTGATGGTAAAGAAAAAAGGATGAAAGTTACACACCTTGCTTGGATTAGCTTCCAATAACAAGAGAAAGAAAGGATGACTTTACAGTTATACCTGTGCTTCTAACTCTGCAATTCTCTGCAAAGATGCCTGTTCAATGCAAGCACGACGCTTACATTCTTCTTCTAACAAACTTGTAACTTGATATCTAAGCTCTGCCATTTCTTGAGCAAGGTCCTCTGCTTCTTCTTTGGCCTTCAACTTTTCTTCTCTTAATTCTTCCTAGTAAAAAGTTGAAATCACTAGATACATCTCCAAACTCAAAATAGACTTGAATAGATGAAATTACATTATTAAAAAGGTACATCTTTTCACTTTAGTATATGAGGAATTGACATCAACAATTTCAATATTCTATGCTTAGATAAAATGGGCATACTTTAAGTTTCTCCACAAGTATTTTATACTCTTGCATCTGATTTGACATCTTCTCCATATCCTCCTTAACAGCTACATCTGTTTCCAACGCCAATGCTAGTCTTCCAAGGAGTTGACCCAATACTTCTCCATAAACACTTGGGCAATACAGGAAAACATTAACATAAATTTAGTAAAAGAATGCTTCAATTTATAAGTTCAAATTAAAATAATTCAAAGGAAACAATTCAATTATGCACCTAAGTTATCAGTAACTGTCAGTCAAAGAAGATCACATGAAAAAAAGGAAAAAAAAAAAAAAATCCTCCAGCCAATTGTACACCGGTGTCCAAATTGACGTATTGAATATTTTCTGGCGTACTTGTTGGTTATGGAATATTTCATTTAACAGTTGGAGATTAACTGATTGAAGATTACACATAAGGAATTTGGACCAACTGGAACATTAATCGACTAATAAAACTACAAATAAACCAAGTTACTTCTTCAGTTTCCAGAATCCATCATTTATAATTCTATAGCTACATTTAAACATACAAGCTCACGAGAGCAAAAGGAGCAATCATATAAAGTGTAATAAGTTTAATGCTTACAATATCAGGCATACACTTAATGACAAAAGTAAAGACACTGGCTCTGAAATATTGCTAATCAGTTCAAATCTTTAGTGTTTTTAAGGGAGAATATTCATTAACAAGAAAGAAGAAGATATTAGAAAGAGACACCCCATTTGATTTTATTCCCTTGAAGAAGAGAAATGGGCAATTTCACTCTCAAACTATCAACTAAAAGATCAAGCAAAACTGCCAGAGTTAGGAGCAGACTGCAATAGGGGAAAACCACAGCTCTTCCATTATAACACAACTATTAAAACATACTTAACAGGACATTTGTCACATACAGATTAGTTGAAAAACCAAACCCCTTTCATTATGTACCTTGTATACTTTGATATGTCAGAATCATTCTCTTGTTCACTCAAGGAAGACAGACCATTGAGTTGTGATCTGTCCTTGCTTTCTAGCCACTCTTCAACCTTCTGAGAAAAATTTCTAGTGTTCATGTTGACGGCATCAATCTTATTCTTAAGCTTCCTATTTTCCTCATTTATAGAGACAATATGTTTTTCGGCTTCCTGAATTTTAAACTGAAGCTCTTCAATCAATCTACTCATTCTAGTGTTTTTTTTAAGAGTTTCCTCCTGTATTTTCTTAGCCTCAAAATGACTCTGCTCCAAGGCCATCAAGTCAAGCTTCATGCACTCTATTTCACACTCTGACTCTAATGCCATGGATGAAATTGATTCCTCCAATCTCTCTACAGATAATGTTGACTTCTCCAATTCCATTTCTTTAGTCTCTAATTCCTTCAGCAAGAAAAATTGCGCGGAATTCGATCTCTGCAGCTCCTCCTTTAACCTGAAAACCTCATCTTGTAAACCTTCCATGTCTTTTATTTTCAATTTGAGGCTGTAAACAAGCTCTTGCAGGTAGTTAACCTCCATGTTCCTTCCATTAAGCAGATCCTTAAGGTAATCTGTATAAAGTATGATCAAGTCAAGCCAATAAGTAAAGCCTCCAAAAAAAAAATCACACGTCTAATCCAATAGATAAATCAATTTCATTGAAAATGGATGAATATTACAACTTAATTTACATGCTAAAAAGACCAAAAAGAAGAAAAATATTAAGCTATTGAATAGCAATCATCTGTTGAACAAAAGGTTCACTAACAAGAGTAAATATGGGCAACATATATGCATATAAAAAAAAAAAAAGAATTGCCAACATGAACTACTTTCCATCTATCAATCATTTGAAAGAGTTTTAATTACTTTCATATGTAAGAACCCTTTCAAAGAGCATCTAAAGTTGAGAGACACACAAACTACCTATTTCCTGAGAGCAGTTCAACAGCTCCTCTTCCAACCTCTGTATGTGCTTCTTATCTTTTATACTAGCCTCTGATAGTGACTTCTCATGTAGTTCTATTATCTGCATCAATGGCATAAATCACACTGGTATCAGTTAGCTTAAGATTTTAAAACTTCAAGGTAAATTTTGAAGCATAATTTGCTAATGGAAGTAGCAGAACTTTCATGAAAGAGCCAATGCAAGGTTCAGACTTCCCTTGCTGCTACTACAGACATGGAAGATCTTCGCAAAGTACTCAAATACTCAACAGAATTATTGGAAAAAAATACTTTTTACTAGTTCTGGAGAATATACACTTTTGAGTGTTTACCAAAATTCTTTGTATGTGACTTTACTTATATAATATCTATCAATTTGAGCGTCAAAGGAGAAAATATCACGGGATGGCTTTAATTTGAAGTTAAATTTCAAAAGGAAAATTTTGTGCATTAAAATTTCATATGGGAGGATAACTGCATCAGAGCCTCTTTATACTTCCCTTAATCAACCAATAAAATTTCATAAAATTGCCTTCACATTAGCCGCAAGCCCAACACTAAGACTCTTGCTTCCTTTTCCTCCCTCCCTTCCTTCCTTCCTTTTCTTCTGGAGTAGGGGCACAGGAGATGCACTTAGTGACTCTAATATGCATCTAACCACCAATTTATAATATTGAGAGAAGATGTGAATTGCTCCAAAAACCATTCTATAGTGATCTTTGTGGTTAATGGTAACCAAACATCAGAGATTAGAGATCAAAAGTCAGGAAATTTACATTCTCACTTTCCTTACAAAAATATGTAAAATGCTTAATAAAGCATATTATAATAGCTTGAATTCAATCTACCATGTGATATACCTGGAGTAGCTCAAAGGTTTTGGATTGTGAACAATTTACCATGTCCTTCTCTTTTCTAAGCTGCATGTCAAACAAGATACACATCAGTAAAAAGTTCAAATGATACATAAATTACATATAGAATGGAAAAGGGTTCTGTTCTTTCAGACAACATGCAATTAAAGTTTGTAAAAGTAATCTACAATATATATATATATATGATGAACAAGTTCGATGACATATCAGTAATCCATGTAAGGAGTTCTGCTCTCTCAAGCACAGAATGAAAGTCATCCAATAATACAACCAAAAGATAGCATATTCTATAGTATGTCGGATCTCCAGGAAAAGTACATTACTGTCTTTCTAGTCAAATGCAAATCCATAAATAAATATACTACTTAATTCATCAAATTAAGAATTTTATTAAAAAAATTAGCCGATTAAAGTAATATACTTAAAAGGAAGGCATTCATATGAAAAAGCTCATGCAAAGCTCCAGCATATTCTAAACAGGGTGTGTCATTTAATTCCAGGTAGTAAGCAGGTGAACGGGGAAGAAATGGCACCTCTCTACATCTTGCTTTAATTTTCAAGAGTTCCTCCGCATGAAAAGAAGTATCGATGTCACTCCTGAAGCTACTTGACATTTCTGTAAGCAATCTGACACAGGTGTCTTAGAGAGGAGCACATGATGAATGTTTATTAAAAGATAAGCCACGCTAAATTTGATAGTAGTAGTAAATACAAAAGAACAAACACCAACCACACAGCTAACGCACAACATCTTTTCCAAAAGTATAGAACTGTAACAGTAAAATGGAATAGATATTTAAGACAAGAAGTTCGTGACATAATTTTGCAAGTAATGAAGTGGATTTTCAATATTTTTCAAAGAAAGTAAAATCTTAACTACCTCAGCTACTCTCTCCAGGTGAAACTAGGGAACTATTGGGCATAGAAAATGCAACATAAAGGAGAAAATGATAAAATGCTTACTTGACCCGTGATTAAACAAGTCATAATTTTTCAGTTTCATCTCAACATAGGAAAGAATTTAGTAAAACCGTTGACAGGGATTTGCTAAATAAAACAACTGGGGAGTACACTTAAAAGATTCAATCCTCAGAAGAACCGACTCCGAACTTATCCATCAACACCAAATATACACATATATCAATATGAAGGTGAAACGGTAAGAATCTGTGCTAATAACCTGAATCAGATAATTCCTCTTCGAAGAAAAATGACGAAAATACGAAGGTTAGTCCAATTGCAAATATGATTTGAACTTTAAAATGTTGCGATGCCCACGGCTCGGCTTGAAGACATCGATTCTCTAAAACATTTGAGCTGCCATGGCAAATAAAGGAAGGAACCCGGCAATGTTAGGTGCTTATCTTCGGGGAGCTTGTTCAAAAGAGGTTCTCTTTTTTTTTTTTTTTTTTTTTTGGGTGGGAGACGGGCCTGATGTGCAGAAGTGACAGCAATTAAATGGATTTCATTTTCATTTATTATGCTTTTTTTAGTTTTTTAAAAATCTATGTCTATTTAAATTAAGGATGCCACATGAATTACCGAAAATGTCCTCATTTTTTTGACTTTGGATGAGTACTGTGGATAAGATATTGTAATCGGAATTATGGATGAGTACTGTAGACATGCGACTTTTTATGTTCATTTTATTTGCTACATGGGTACTGTCCCGGCTTTTTCTTTCTTTTTTAAAATTTTATTTGTTAATTCTTGCAATATGACATAGTAACTGAAAAAGGTAAAAATAATATGGGTCGGTAATAAAAGATGCAGATGTGGGACCTATGAAAAATAAATTAGTAATATAAAATTTATAATTAAAAACATATAAAATATTTTGTCTATTTTTATCTTTAGTAATGATACATCTCTTTTATTTTTTGAAACATATATAAACATTTTTTTAATATAAATAATTATAAAATATAAGCCTCTCTTTTATTTTGAAGATTTTATTTTTATCCATCCAATCATCAATTAACCGTTAAGTCATGTATGTTGAACTATAATATCCTTATTTAAATATAAATATTATCTAAAAATTATTTAATTCACAAAAAAATTATTATTTAAATATATTTATTTTTAAAAATTAAATATATAAGTTGGTCAAAAAAAATCAAAGACGCAGTTTATGAACTCAATTAAGATAAAAATAAAATAAAATAATTTTTAGTAGTTTGGAATGGTTAAATTAATCTAAATAAATTTGAAAGCTATAAATGTCAGGAGCAGGCTCTGCTATAAATTTTTGATATTTTTAAATTTTTTAAACTTAATATGAAGTGGAGCTTTAAGGGTAATAGAGGGAATGTAAGATTTTTAATAAACTTAATTTTTTAAAAATTGGAGTGGTGTGATTTAAGAAAGTGGTGTGTGGAACCTACAATTAAAAATGTGAGTGGTGTCTACATTTATAAATTTTAAAAATTTAAATAAGATATAAAAAATAAAATTTTTATGTTTTGAGAAATCATATAGCATTATAGTAAAAATTGATGGTAAATATGAGATTCTTAATAAAATAATAGATGTTAGATATATAAAAAAATTTCTATATATTTGTTATTATGGTAACAAATCAAGACAGTTTAGTTTATATGAGCATATATAGAATAAGTTTTTACTTATATTTTTCAAATGTATAAGGTATAAAAATATATTATTCTATTATTTGTATGTAAAAATTTATTATTGTTTGATCATTTGTGAAAGTATTGATATAATTATGTGTCTCAAGTCTGAATAAAAAAAATTATGTACTACAAGTTAATTATATAATATTAACAAATTTATCTTCTGTTATCAATAATTATCGTGTTACTTGTAATGCTTGTACATATGATTGATAAATGATAGTAAAACATGAATTGTATTATTTGCTTGATTTAAAACCATAATAATTATTATTTATAAATAATATTATCATATAAATTGTAATGCAATTTATTATAATATATATTTTATGTTTTTTAAGGTGATGTATAGGGCAAAGCATTTTAAAATAGAACAAACTAAATTACATTTCAAATTACCAGATGCAAGAAATTTAAAAAAAATAATACTATTTTTAATATATATATATATATATATATATAAGAGTAACACATTACAAAATTTTAATTTATACATGACAATACACTCAAAAATAAACATAAGTTATTATTTATATTCTTAACATGCACAAACATAACAAAATTTAAAGAGAATATTATTTAAATTTTAATTTGTATAAATTAATAAATTATAAAGTACAATACTGGCGTCCCTTTTGTTTTATTAGAATTATAAAGACTTCACTTACAAACAAAAAAATTATAAAGACCTTTTCTTTATTTTTAAAAATTACATTGTAGTTTCATTTTTAACATGGTTAGAAATATTATGTTAAATATTCTAAAATATTTAAGTTCTTATTTGTGTTAATGCTGAAACATTTTAAATTATTAATTTACTCTTATAATTTATTTGTCTATCCCCTCGCTTCTTAATTTAAGGAAATTCAAATAATTTTTGGCCAAATAAAAAACTTTTAACAATTAACAATGATAATTATTTAAAAATATTTCATCAAAATTATAAAATTTAAATGAACACAAACATAAATTATATTATAGCATGATATGATCCAACTGGCTTTTTGTATTATGAGACTCAACAATCGTTTAAAGAAGTTACTAAAATAAATAAATAAACTCTTGGTGAAGGGTACATGTGAGAAGAATTATCCTTGTCGACAGGGGAAAATGGCCATGCGAAAACCAAAAACTCAACGAAATGAAACTATTTAGTTATTGCCTTGGGACGTCAAGTGGTTTCACTTTAACCATGGTAGATAGGCTGTTGATGTAATGTCTAGTTTTTTTTTCAAATAAAATTGATCATTCATATGCATGTATGTGTAAAGTTGTCTCCCTTATTAGGTTGGATGAAAAAAATTTAAATTTTTTTCAAATAAACATTTTGATAAATTAAATATTGAAGGCTCATCGGATCAAAATATATTTTCAAATTCAAAAAAAATATCATTGATATATTTATAAATCATCATACAACAATATCCTAATGTCAGAAATGGAATGTGAACTCATAATTTTATGAATTATGAGTCAAATCATAATTAACTAGATTTTTTTTGTTGGTTAAAAATACTAAAATTTAAAGATGATAATAAAGTGCTGCTCTCCAGTCTCAAGGTTGGGCTTTCCAAGGTTGAGAGGTTGGATTCTGGAGAGAGCGTGATGCCTATATATGCGCCTCAAGCCTTATTTGTACGCCACAAAACCATAGAGAATTATATTAAAATTCATACAAAAAATAATAATTATTACAAAATTTATGTACAACTGAACTAAAGTTAACGTATTATTGATAGTTTTAGTTTTATTATCAATGGGTGATAATTAATTTATTTGTGTGAGACCTGTATGTAATTTTTTAAAAAAATTATCTAAAAGATGGTGCTAACAAGTAATGACCATAAAAATGTAATGTGTGAACTAATAATATCTTGTTTAGTCCACACCTACCATATAATGAAAAACTCTTAGCCCCACGCCAAGTTCGAAGAACAAGGATCAAAACGGGATCCGTAGCTCACAAAATTATTTAGTAATTACAAGATAAATATACCAAAAAATAAAAAAGAGTACCATAAATCAATATTTAACGTGGGAATATCTAATCAAAGTGAATAGAAATGCTCTCTAGTTTCCCTAGTTTTTAATATTATATATATATATATTGATATATTGATTATAGGAAAAATGACAAATGAATCTCTTTAAAAACAAGGAAATGACAAGATAGTCCTATAAAATGTGATAATGATAATGAGATCTCAATGAACTTCTTTGAGATTAATTTTTTGTATGAAATTACTTTGATATTCTTACACAATTTTAAAAGTCAGTGATTTTTTAAATCATTTTAGCCAATAATAGAATCAAACTTGTAAATACTTATACCAAATTTATAAACAACATAAAATTAGTTGAACTTTGCTGATAGAAAATTATGATTTTTTGAAATTATTTTATTCATTGATAGAATCAAACTTGCTAATACTTATATCAAATTTATAAATTGTATAAAATTACTTGGACTTCACTTATTGAAAAAAAATGCTAATAGAAAGTTATAATTTTTTAAATCATTTTAGTTATTGATAAAACCAAACTTCTAAATATTTATATCAAACCCGTAAACAATAGAAAATTAGTCATAGAAAGGTATTAAAATAATTGCACATATAAATTTAATTTTAAAAAAATCTCTTGAAATATCACTGTTATTATCACATTTTATAGGATTAAATCATCACTTTCTTATTGCAAATAGATTTATCTGCCATTCTCCCTTATTATATATGCTGCAATGAGATATTAAAAAAAAAAAACAAAGGCATTGACTCAATAGTTTAGTTGACCGATTGTGGTGTTTTAGCCTTTAATTCCAGTTTTTGATTAAACGTGTCTTGCTTAAGGCCGTGTCAGAAAAACAAAATTAAAAACATAGCGATAATTGATGAACCAGGAGGCGAACCGTCATTTTCTCAACTTGGTTATTATTGTTATCCCTCAACCATCTTAGAAGACATATATTATTATTTTATTTTTTTGGTGTTTGTCATAGTTAATCGTAAAGATATTTTAATTTTTAGCCGGGCTATCCGGGACCCCAAATTTTAGTTTCGTGTGCGACAGTGATAATAAAAATAAATGAGCTATTTATCGTACGGATTAAAAGGTAATGTACGATATAAAATTTGACCTTAATTCAATTGATTAAGTCAATGAGAATAAATAAAGAACTAGTATGGCCTCTTCCTTGTATTCACAAAACAAAAAACTAATGCAGTCACTTATTTTTTAAAAAAAGAAGATTTAAGTCCATACTCCATCCTCTGCGCCGAATGGTTTCAACTTGTCATGCAATATCTTGCCTCAGAATTACTGAACTGACTTTTTTTTTTTTTAATAAAATGACAAATATATTAATAAAAAATGAAGTCTACAAAGCAAGTGTTAAAATGGGACCACATTTCTAAAGAATATAACTGTTAAAGTCATGCAGAACCTTTAAAATGTCTTGGCTCACGAGATGCTATCTATTAGAGCAGAAACAAACTCATTTGTTATGTCTAATCTATTAAGTGATAAAATAGTATGATTAACACATTTATCATCTTATATTATTTTATTATAATATGTTGACATTGATTTTATAAAGTTTTACCTTTCACTTCATTGACATTTTTATCTTGAACTTTAATTTAGTTTTATTTTTTATCAAAATATGTTTTGTTAACTTAAAAATATATGTTTCACAGTTGGCCAAAAATATTTTCTTAATAAAACATGAATAAATTCAAAATTAATTTAAAGTATGACATCTCTCTGTTTTAAAATATAGCATTCAATGTATTTTAAAAATAAAAAAAATGAATTAGTAGAAAATTTTAATAGAGTATTAAATAACCAAGTAACCTTGGATCAAAAAATAAGGTGATTAAAATATCTTTGGGAGTTGCCGCCGAGCCACGTACGAAGTTGGAGAGCTTTCTCTGCAGTTAGTTGCTCGAAAAGCCACAACCCCACCCCACCCCACTTTCTTATTCTTTAAAATAATAATTTTAAAATACTTAAAAAATATTTTTCTTTTTTTTTATTTTTCAGAGCAGTATTTAATTTTTTTTGGTTTCAAAAACAATCTTTCAAAACACATTATCAATTTTATTTTATTTTTTTTTTACTAAAGAGAATATAAAACTATATCCAAACTAAGATGCCAAACAAGCCCTAAGTGTCCTGTGATAAAACGTGACTAATTTTTTTTAATTTATTTCATATTCAAATTCAGCATTTACAATTTATAATCATCTTGACAGTGGAACGGAAGATCCACCCCACCAACAAATAGACAACCAATCCAATTAAATCACAATTGTTGCACCCCAGTTTTGATTCACCCCAAAAAACCATTACACTAGTAGTTTATATATTCCAAGGTTTTGATTTTTTTTTTAAAACTGAAATTTATTCATTAGCCGAGTTTACAGTAAGAAAGAAGCACTTTGCGTCCAGTAATGTGCAATTTGAGTGAGAGTTTCACATCAGTGGTCCAGTGCAGCCACGTGTCCAAGTGTCTTCACACAATAATTATGATAATCACTATTAAGAGCACAAAGTGATTAGCGAGAAGGATTTAATAACACACCACTTGTGTGCGAAGTGAAAGAGATGAGATGGGTGGTCAGGTTTATATGGTAGGTGACTAAACAACCACCTTTAGCTCCTTCACATGCCTTCTTTCATGTATGTATATATTATATCTCCAAAATCTACCTTTGTCATCTACAAATCTCATGCCCCAATTTGTTTTCAACACCTCATTCATTTCTCTTTGATGCCAAGAAAATATAATTACCTCTCAACCATGTCACTTTTGGAGTTTCATACAGATCAGGAAAAAGAGGTACATGTGAAGACAGAAATGTAATGCACAGTCTGTTCCGGTGAGACTTATTCTATTGACAAAGTATAGCATATCATAGTAATACCATTACCAACCAAAAAAATCAGCAAAGTAAAAGCTGTGAGTTCATCGTCCCCATGAACTGACTGGTGAATAATACGAGAAGAAGTACCTTGAAAGAATTAATGAAATGAATGCAGGAACTTGTTGTCTATACAGCTTTTGAATCTTCATATCATTGCCGAACCTGAATCTGAGTCGTCTGAACCACTCTTATCAGTTAGATATGAGGCCAACCAGTGCCTCCTGCTTGGGATGATGATGGCCTTGTACCACCCACCATGGCTGGTAATTCTCCACTCGACTGTTGCTTTCTTCTTCTGTAGAAGCAGGAAGATTGAGATCAAGAAAGTCTCTGATTCCCTGAACTGGTTTCTCTAGTACTAGTGACCCTTCAGCTGCGAAATGAGATCTCTTGTGACCTCCCAAAGCTTGGCCAGATGGAAAAATCTTCAGGCAAATTGGACACTCATGTACTTTGTTCTTCTTGGGTTCTGTGACTACCTCTTCTTCATTCTCCAAATTGACACAAGCCATAAGCTCTTGATTTTGAACTACATACCCATTGTTGAGGTCTGTTTCTATGCTGTTCTCGCTACTCTCGTTTCTCGAAGCAGAGCAGCCTTTGAGCTTCTTATGACTAGATCTGTGGCCTCCCAGAGCTTGGTACGAGTGGAAGATCTTGTTGCAAGTTGTACACTTGAACTTCCCTTTCTTGCAATTCGACTTCACCTCATAATCCGAAAACCTTCTCTTCACTGATGAATCTAGTTCTGTTCCATTGGCCTCGCTCTTCCGCTGTTCGTCTTCAGAATCCTCCAATGTCAACTGGTTATCAAGCTCCTGCTTCTTTTCTTTACAGTTCTTGACCAACCCATTAATGGAAACTGTGGCTTTGATCGATTTGAACCCATTCAACGGAGAGCTACTTGCTAAACTCTCTGGTTTTTTTCCTTTCGGGTTGAAATCCGCAGAATCAGAGTTGCTGCCAATAGTCAGTTTTACTTTACCCGTTTCAATTTTGGTACTCAGATTAGTTCGAACCACTGAAGATCGAGCTTCGAAAAATGCCGAATTGTTATCGGAGGAGTCGAAAAGAGGATTCAAACCGCTCCACTGACCCACGTCCCTGCTTAGCATCATCAAGCTCATAGCAACCTCTTCTTGCTCTTGTTCAACCTCAGAAACAGAGGACGAAGGATTCGCAAAAGATAGAGAGGAAGTTGAAGCAGCGGCAACGAACCTCGTTCTTCTCTTGGATCTTCTTCTTCGGTTAGGATTGCCAGCGCCCTCGTTGTCTGATTGGCTATCTGTGACAACTTTCTGGCTAGCAGAATCTTGATTCTCCAAGTTGTTGTTGTTGTTGTTAATGGAAGATTTCTCGGAATGGCATTTCATGTGACCAAAAAGAGCTTTCCAAGAGTGAAACGCTTTGCCACACTCTTTGCAGAATTTGTCGTCAGTGACCGGAGGTGTTTCTTCCCTTCTTGAATCTGCGAGTCTCCAAGTCTTTTTGGGATTCTCTCTGAGATCGTACTCCGCAACCTTACTGCTTCCAGCTCCGGCATTGATGACAGATTGAATCTTCTTCACCGTCGCAGGTTTCTCCTCTGCTTCAGTTGAAAAATTGGTGATGTGCGACCTCATGTGACCTCCTAATGATCTACCGCAAGGGAAGCTCTTGCTGCAGAATTTACACACATGTTCCAGCACTTGCCGACCTTCTTCTTCCATCCGACTCGGCGCAATTAATTCAAGGGAAAATGAAAAACACGCAGATCACCGTAGCAAAACGGCACTAACTTCGATGCTGATCAAAGAACATCCAAGAAAGCTGAAATAATGGATCCCATCACGCACAAGATAACAATCCAAATGGCGATGAAACAGGATATCAGGAAGGAAAATCAGCAAGGCCCAGATCAGCTTATCGATGCGAATCCCCGAATTCCGCGGGAAAAGACCAAACCCATCTCGAGAATTTCACTAAAATCCAAGGTGATTTAAAGCAAGCAAGATCTAAAGAAGAGAAAAGAGAAGGGTCAAGAGATAGTACAGTAAAGCTAATCCCCAAGAGGCAAATTAAACCAGCTCTAGCATCGCCGATAGTAGAACTTAAAAGGACAAAAAAAATAGAACTTGACGAAGAGGTGTGTGTTGTAACCTTGGTGGCTAATGATGGCGGATGAACAAGCGTTGGAGAAAAAGTAATAGAAAAGGAAGGAAGGAAGGAAGGAGAGTGATGAATGAGTGAGCGAGCGTTTGTTTCTCTGTCTCTCACTAGTGGGTTTCTCTCTCTAACTCGGAAGCTTGACTATATTTGGAGGAGAAATCCATGCATGGAAGCAAAGATAAAAGAGAGAGAGAAGGAGAGAAGAGGAGGAGTGGTAAAGAAAAAGTAGAGGATAGCAGCACGTGTACTCAACTGAGGATACTACGCCACCAGTGGATCGGACGGCGCAGATGAGTCCGAGTCAGCGAGGTGGGGCCGAGGGGTGAGGAAGCTGCTGAAACTAACTGCCTCCCCTAACTATTCCTTCCTTCGTCTTGCTATTAAGGAAAAGCGTCACACGCACTTCAAGTGAAAGCTTCCACTCTGCGGCCGTTATTCTTCCATTTTCGTTTTCGTTTTTTTTTAAATTATTTGAAATTATGAAATTGAAGTGGGTCCCACGAGGAGCTAAACCGCTATCCAATTGCTTCATATCCTAATCAAACCCACCCTCACTCCCTGCCCAGTGTTCCTGATTCTCCTCAAGCGATTGAGCCACATTTCAAGGGCTGCTTTGTAAAGCAACTTCCCCATGTACACATACAAAGAGTATAAATGTACATAAAACTATTTTTTTAATTATTTTCAATTATATTTTTAAATTTTACAAGGAGAAAATTAGAAGATATTAACTGACATAATATATATATATATATATATATGAGTTTGGATCCTTGCAGTTAAAAAACTTGTAAAGTATCTTAACAACAATATTAAAATTAATTTAAAAATAGAGAGATTGTGAAAATATCAAAAGAAGTTCATTCATCACATAATTTAATTTTAATTTTTGTTTTTTATTGCTTATAATAGCCAAGGCAAGTCCCATGATTTGAAGGGCAACTAGATAAGCATTTATATGTTGAAATGTTAACAAGATGGCAGTAATTCAATTTAAAAACAATTAGATTTGAAAAAAAAAATAATAACAAAAAGTGAGTTGCAAGCATGGGTTCAAAAACAGTATAGTATATTAAATATAGATAACTTATACGATTTAAATTTTAAATTGCAAATTTACAATTGAGACTACTCTCATATTTGTAATTTTTTAAATTATTATCTAAATTAATATTTGTAACTTATTTTTTAATAATATTTTTATAATGTAACTGTTATTAATTTAATCTTTTGAGCATGAGTGTCATTCTCCCTGCATATTATCCACCAACCAAATTTTGACATTAGCAAAGAAATTGAATAATCACATTCGATATTTTAAGTTTCATTCGAGTAATCTAAAATTGAAATGTTTTGAAATGAGAAAAGAAATTGAAAATTCTTTTTTTTAAAAAAAAAAAACCCGTGAGTTATGGCTAGCCTTTTTCTAATTTGTTCACTCTTGGTCACTCGTTTTCTTATTGTAGACATCTCATAAATCTTAAATTTCACCTTATCTAAATTTCACTTATTCCCTATGCTACTTTTTTATTTTTTATTTTTTAAAATAATGTTGATCGGACTTTTTATACTTGCAATAATTTCCCCTTAGCCAAAAAGTTGCTTTGTTTATTTTTGGATGGAACTGGCTATCTAATCTATATATGCCATACTGCCATAGCATATAAAACCCTGTCTATAGCAACACAGCTAAAATTTGGCACATTTTCTTGCGTCCTGGACTGTGTGACTGTATCATATCACTTTAACTAGCTGGCCTCTCATCCCATCCATTTGTCCGTACAAATCTTGATTAATTTATTGCTTAGACCCATTCATTTTTGCCAATTGAAAAATGGAATTCAAATTCTACTCACAGCAATTTACCTAACCGCATATACAAAATATACATGGCCCAGTATTTTGAGAGAAATCATTTGTTTTAATATATATGATTTCGGAACCTAATAATAAGATAATTGTACTAATTTAACTGAAAATCTCGAGTTTGAATTATGAAAATGCAGCAGCATTAGTGTCAAAGCTCTTGCTTGAAAGAATCCCATCCCAATTTGTTCTGTATTGGTTTAGACCTTGTTAAAGTTTTCTTAGCTCAACACGGGACACATCCAGTATATATGGTTCCGCACCCATAAAAGAAAAAAAAAAGAAAAAAGATTTGGGAGGTGTCCACATAAAGAAGTGTGAGTGTGCCATGTTAACTTTAAAAGCCAAAAATTGATGCAGCTAGCAGCTGCTTCTGTTGGCACTTGGCAGCATCTCAAAATGCATATCAATATATCAATTAATATAAAATCTATACTAAATCACATTATTCATATCGAATTTTATGCTAATGGGATTCACAATCTAGTTAATTATGTTCACAATACTGTGCGCTTAAGAGGCTGTATTATATCCTCTTGAAATCTGCTGTGTTGTGCCCTCTCAGAGTGCCAGCTAGGCACTTCATTATCTATTAGATTAATTCTCTCAAATGGTTTAGAAAGTATGGGAAAAAATCAGAGGAATTATTTTTATCAAATATGGCCTTTTATTAAAAAAAAGGAAAAAATTCACATTTGCCTTTTAAAGTGATTGAACTTTGTTAGTTACTGTGGTGCTTTGTACCTTAATGTGCCTCGTAAGGCTATTTACTGTGGGAATAGAAATTAAGCAAAACAAAAAAAAAAAAAAAAAAAAAGCGGCCTTGCAGTTCCAACCAGTGAAGAAGCAACAAAAGTTTATTAGCCTTCACAACTTAAAGTGTTTGATTATATTCTCTCCATTTCTTTTGTTAATTTCATCAATGAATTAAGACGGTTTAATATATTGTGTTTCAGCCTTGTAACTTTATAAATGGATTCACACTTATGTTTTATATGTGAGCTATTAATTAAGGAAAACAAGTTATCCTATTGAAATTTTGTACTGTTGTTATTTCATGTTTGGAATCTAATTCGTTGGCTTCAATGATTGAAGGGGGAATCTGATCTCATCCAACATAATATAGTATATATTTAGCCAACATAATAGGATAATGGTTAATTAAGATAACTAGATATATTAATATTATCTATTAGAGGTATTTAAATAATGATTTTTATCAATTAAAATTATGATTTATTATTATCTTAGATTTATTTATTTTCAATAAAATAGGATAATAGTATTCTATCAGCAGTTTTTTAAAATTTAAATTAGATTTAAGAGTTGAATTTAAATTACTATTTATTTATTTTTAGGATTTTATAAATATAGCTAGGATTTTCAGTTGCATTTAGCTTTAATAATTATTATATTAAATAGAATATTTGAAAATTTCGGCTTCTACTCTTGATCGATAAATTAGATTAACGAAACATCTATAATTCAAACAGAAAAAAGATAAACTAACATATAGTTGATAAGAAAATTGAAAGGATTTAAATTTAATTGTGTGTGTGTGTCATGAGAAGGCCACTGATCTCACGAGGAATTCCAGCAAACGTAAAATTCTCCTTTCCATCAATTGAGAAGCCTATATCTAAAATTGCATGTCACGTTAGGTGAAAGCAACTGCCAAATTTCAACATATATAACAATATAATTATCCATTATTGACTTCTAAATCGTAACCTGCGCTAATGAAATAAAGTTGATATATATTAAGTTATATATATATATATACATTACAAAAAATGATAATTGGAAGTTTTAAAGACTTATATATATATATACATATATATCTTCCAGGCATAACTTTTTTTATGTATTGCTACCGTTGTTGGTAGTTCATAAGTTGCTGCCGTGATGTAATCTGCGATCCATCTTTACTTGAATTTCCATTTACCCTGTTGGCAAAAAAGAACCTAACTTAAAGGATATATATATATATATACTTTCTTTGTTCAAAAATATAAAATATTTTTTAAAGAATTGAATGATAAAAAATATATAAAATTTTTAATTTTTTTAAGTGTAATCATTGCATTTTTTTAAAATTATTCTATTAAATAAATTACTTTATATTTATTATAGAATGTTTAATAAGGATAAATATAAAAAGATAGGGTTAGTTTAAAAGTAAGTAACTATTTTATTAAAAAATAATATTCGATTAAAAATAACTTATATTTTTTAATAGAGGGAGTATATATATATATAGATAGATAGATATTAAAAGACAAAAAATTGAACCAAACTTAAGTAAAGAATAAAAGACTTGGAAATTTAAATAAGGATACAAATTTTCTTAAAGAATTGGTCTAAAATTTATTACTCTCATTCAATAATTTGCAAGCAAGATTCACTAATTCATAAAAAAAAATATCAAATATATACCACCACTTCAAGTAATTTGCTACTCTCATATTCTTATTGATAACTTGAATACAAATTTGCAAGTAATCTTCATTAATTTATGAAGAAGAATGATTTTTAAGAAATAATATACTTATTAACTTTTTCTTTTACAAATCTCACACCTTAAAATTTTTGTTTTTAGAATTACAAATTATAAATTAAGAGCAGAAAATTTTGAACCAATTCACTTGAGGCCCTTTTGTTCCGATTAATTGTCAAATTTATTTATTTTGTTAAATTTAATTCAATCTTTTAATATCACATACTTCTTCTATTTAAAAATATAATGCATTTTTTAAGGGGTTAAATATTAAAAAATATAAGGCATTTTTAATTTTTTGATGTGTAATTATTGTCTTTTTTTTTTAAAGTACTCCTATTGATAATGACTTTATATTTATTGATAGGAGTATATATGAAACGATATAATTAGTTTAAAAGTAAATAACTATTTTATTAAGAATGAGATTTGATTAAAAGTATTTTTTATTTTTAAACAGAGAGAGTATACACACACACATCCCTTATTAGTTTACTAGCAAAGCAGCAATGTTCACTACTTGGCATGTGACTGCATCTAACAAATTCTATCTACACACGCGCACAAGCACAATAAGAATCTCAAAGTGGCATTAACTGTGAAAGAACGCAGATCTATCTGGACATTACATTATTATCACACAGTGAAGGTCCATGAAAACACAGACACACACACACACACACACACAAAGTAGGGGGCGAGACAGTATGATTAATGTTGAATTTTTAAGGTATATATATTGGATTAGGATCCCTTTGATGGATCCTAAATATATTTAATCAGTACAAGCTGTCTTGGGTTGTTATTTT